GTGAGAGAGTGTGAGGGTATGTGTGGGTGTGAGCGAGTGTGATAGTCCGTGTGTGTGTGAGCGAGTGTGAGTGTCTGTGGGTGTGAGCGAGTGTGAGTGTCTGTGTGGGTGTGAGCAAGTGTGAGAGTATGTGTGGGTGTGAGCGAGTGTGAGGGTCTGTGTGTGTGTGAGCGAGTGTGAGTGTCTGTGTGGGTGTGAGCGAGTGTGAGAGTCCGTGTGGGTGTGAGCGAGTGTGATAGTCTGTGTGTGTGTGAACGAGTGTGAGTGTTTGTGTGGATGTGAGCGAGTGTGAGAGTCTGTGTGTGTGTGAGCGAGTGTGATAATCCGTGTGGGTGTGAGCGAGTGTGAGAGTCTATGTGTGTGTGAACGAGTGTAAGTGTCTGTGTGGGTGTGAGCAAGTGTGAGTGTCTGTGTGTGTGTGAGCGAGTGTGATAGTCCGTGTGTGTGTGAGCGAGTGTGAGTGTCTGTGTGTGTGTGAGCGAGTGTGAGGGTCTGTGTGGGTGTGAGCGAGTGTGAGGGTCTGTGTGTGTGTGAGCGAGTGTGAGTGTCTGTGTGTGTGTGAGCGAGTGTGAGGGTCTGTGTGGGTGTGAGCGAGTGTGAGTGTCTGTGTGTGTGTGAGCGAGTGTGAGAGTCTGTGTGGGTGTGAGCGAGTGTGAGTGTCTGTATGTGTGTGAGCGAGTGTGAGGGTCTGTGTGTGTGTGAGCGAGTGTGAGTGTCTGTGTGTGTGTGAGCGAGTGTGAGAGTCTGTGTGTGTGTGAACGAGTGTGAGAGTCTGTGTGGGTGTGAGCGAGTGTGAGGGTCTGTGTGGGTGTGAGCGAGTGTGAGAGTCTGTGTGTGTGTGAGCGAGTTTAACTCGTGGTTTACCATCAGCCCCACCAAAACTAAGCACCTGCCTGGGTATTTTGTACCATCGGACACTCCACCCCCACAACTCCCAATCGGTGATGGGGCAGTTGTTGAGAGAGTGGAGAGTTTCCCATACCTGGGCAGTGTGCTTATGACCGGCTCCAGTTTAACAGCAGAGGTCTCACTCCGAATCAGTCGAGCGGCAATATCTTTTCATCGGTTGCGTAACGCTGTGTGGAAGCTACCTGGTCTGTCGCTCGGCACTAAGCTTCAGGTCTTCTCGGCCACGGTCATTCCCTCCCTTCTCTACGCTTGCGAAACGTGGACCCCCCTAATGGAACATCTTCGCCGGTTAGAAACATTTAGGCTGGGCTGCCTATGATCCATCCTGGGTTTAACCAGACTGGATTGTGTGAGGAGCTCACAAATCCTTGAAAGATCTGGGCAAGGTCTCATCGGTGAGCTCCTCCGGCGGGGAAGGCTGCGATGGCTGGGTCATGTAGCCCGCATGCCCAGCCACCGCATGCCGAAACAGCTTTTGTTCGGCCGGATTGAGGGGGCTAAGCAGGCTCGGCACGGGCTAGAGAAGAGATGGAGTGATGTGGTACAGGAGGACGTGGAGCTTAGTGGACTTGCCGATGACTGGTACCAGCGGTGTCAAGATCGGCCTCTGTGGAGGAGGCTCGTGAAGGACGCTATTGGGCAGTTGGAGGTAGTCGCCCTCCAACAACAACGAAGGGCGGAGGAGCGACGCTTAGAACAACGAGCGGAGCGCCGGGTGGCTAAAGCACAGCAGGTTGGCACAGTAGGGGGCACAGGTGGTGCATCAGCCAGTCATCTCAGTCAGTCGACCCGTGGCACCTGGGTCTGCCCCGTGACCTCCTGCCAGCGGGTGTTCGACACTTCACGTGGATTCAGGGTGCACATAGCCTGGCACAAGCGTCGTGGTGACGTCACCGCCACTTAGTGGCGAATGGCGGTTGTTGTTGTGAGAGAGTGTGAGGGTCTGTGTGGGTGTGAGCGAGTGTGATAGTCCGTGTGTGTGTGAGCGAGTGTGAGTGTCTGTGGGTGTGAGCGAGTGTGAGTGTCTGTGTGGGTGTGAGCGAGTGTGAGAGTCTGTGTGGGTGTGAGCGAGTGTGAGGGTCTGTGTGTGTGTGAGCGAGTGTGAGTGTCTGTGTGGGTGTGAGCGAGTGTGAGAGTCCGTGTGGGTGTGAGCGAGTGTGATAGTCTGTGTGTGTGTGAACGAGTGTGAGTGTTTGTGTGGATGTGAGCGAGTGTGAGAGTCTGTGTGTGTGTGAGCGAGTGTGATAATCCGTGTGGGTGTGAGCGAGTGTGAGAGTCTGTGTGTGTGTGAACGAGTGTAAGTGTCTGTGTGGGTGTGAGCAAGTGTGAGTGTCTGTGTGTGTGTGAGCGAGTGTGATAGTCTGTGTGTGTGTGAGCGAGTGTGAGTGTCTGTGTGTGTGTGAGCGAGTGTGAGGGTCTGTGTGGGTGTGAGCGAGTGTGAGGGTCTGTGTGTGTGTGAGCGAGTGTGAGTGTCTGTGTGTGTGTGAGCGAGTGTGAGGGTCTGTGTGGGTGTGAGCGAGTGTGAGTGTCTGTGTGTGTGTGAGCGAGTGTGAGAGTCTGTGTGGGTGTGAGCGAGTGTGAGTGTCTGTATGTGTGTGAGCGAGTGTGAGGGTCTGTGTGTGTGTGAGCGAGTGTGAGTGTCTGTGTGTGTGTGAGCGAGTGTGAGGGTCTGTGTGTGTGTGAGCGAGTGTGAGAGTCTGTGTGTGTGTGAACGAGTGTGAGAGTCTGTGTGGGTGTGAGCGAGTGTGAGGGTCTGTGTGGGTGTGAGCGAGTGTGAGAGTCTGTGTGTGTGTGAGCGAGTTTAACTCGTGGTTTACCATCAGCCCCACCAAAACTAAGCACCTGCCTGGGTATTTTGTACCATCGGACACTCCACCCCCACAACTCCCAATCGGTGATGGGGCAGTTGTTGAGAGAGTGGAGAGTTTCCCATACCTGGGCAGTGTGCTTATGACCGGCTCCAGTTTAACAGCAGAGGTCTCACTCCGAATCAGTCGAGCGGCAATATCTTTTCATCGGTTGCGTAACGCTGTGTGGAAGCTACCTGGTCTGTCGCTCGGCACTAAGCTTCAGGTCTTCTCGGCCACGGTCATTCCCTCCCTTCTCTACGCTTGCGAAACGTGGACCCCCCTAATGGAACATCTTCGCCGGTTAGAAACATTTAGGCTGGCCTGCCTATGATCCATCCTGGGTTTAACCAGACTGGATTGTGTGAGGAGCTCACAAATCCTTGAAAGATCTGGGCAAGGTCTCATCGGTGAGCTCCTCCGGCGGGGAAGGCTGCGATGGCTGGGTCATGTAGCCCGCATGCCCAGCCACCGCATGCCGAAACAGCTTTTGTTCGGCCGGATTGAGGGGGCTAAGCAGGCTCGGCACGGGCTAGAGAAGAGATGGAGTGATGTGGTACAGGAGGACGTGGAGCTTAGTGGACTTGCCGATGACTGGTACCAGCGGTGTCAAGATCGGCCTCTGTGGAGGAGGCTCGTGAAGGACGCTATTGGGCAGTTGGAGGTAGTCGCCCTCCAACAACAACGGAGGGCGGAGGAGCGACGCTCAGAACAACGAGCGGAGCGCCGGGTGGCTAAAGCACAGCAGGTTGGCACAGTAGGGGGCACAGGTGGTGCATCAGCCAGTCATCTCAGTCAGTCGACCCGTGGCACCTGGGTCTGCCCCGTGACCTCCTGCCAGCGGGTGTTCGACACTTCACGTGGCCTCAGGGTGCACATAGCCTGGCACAAGCGTCGTGGTGACGTCACCGCCACTTAGTGGCGAATGGCGGTTGTTGTTGTGAGAGAGTGTGAGGGTCTGTGTGGGTGTGAGCGAGTGTGATAGTCCGTGTGTGAGCGAGTGTGTCTGTGGGTGTGAGCGAGTGTGAGTGTCTGTGTGGGTGTGAGCAAGTGTGAGAGTCTGTGTGGGTGTGAGCGAGTGTGAGGGTCTGTGTGTGTGTGAGCGAGTGTGAGTGTCTGTGTGGGTGTGAGCGAGTGTGAGAGTCCGTGTGGGTGTGAGCGAGTGTGATAGTCTGTGTGTGTGTGAACGAGTGTGAGTGTTTGTGTGGGTGTGAGCGAGTGTGAGTGTCTGTGTGTGTGTGAGCGAGTGTGAGGATCTGTGTGGGTGTGAGCGAGTGTGAGTGTCTGTGTGGGTGTGAGCGAGTGTGAGTGTCTGTGTGGGTGTGAGCGAGTGTGAGTGTCTGTGTGTGTGTGAGCGAGTGTGATAGTCCGTGTGTGTGTGAGCGAGTGTGAGTGTCTGTGTGTGTGTGAGCGAGTGTGAGGGTCTGTGTGGGTGTGAGCGAGTGTGAGGGTCTGTGTGTGTGTGAGCGAGTGTGAGTGTCTGTGTGTGTGTGAGCGAGTGTGAGTGTCTGTGTGTGTGTGAGAGTGTGAGAGTCTGTGTGGGTGTGAGCGAGTGTGAGTGTCTGTGTGTGTGTGAGCGAGTGTGAGGGTCTGTGTGTGTGTGAGCGAGTGTGAGTGTCTGTGTGTGTGTGAGAGTGTGAGAGTCTGTGTGGGTGTGAGCGAGTGTGAGTGTCTGTGTGTGTGTGAGCGAGTGTGAGGGTCTGTGTGTGTGTGAGCGAGTGTGAGTGTCTGTGTGTGTGTGAGCGAGTGTGAGTGTCTGTGTGTGTGTGATCGAGTGTGATAGTCTGTGTGGGTGTGAGTGGGTGTGAGGGTCTGTGTGGGTGTATAGCCTGAACAGACTGTTGAGGCAAGTGCTGTTAGCGAGCATCTATGAAGGTCGGCACGGCACACGAGGGAGGGATGGGTGGCCAGCATCACCCCCAGCCCCCTTTGTCTCCCCAGTGGCGATATTTACACACCGCACTAGATACTAATTTGAGGCTGAGTGGACTTAGCGGAGGCCCAGGACCAGTTCAGATAATCGTCACTGGTGTTGGCCATGCTACGCTACCGCTCCCCAGCCTCATCCACCCCCTCACCCTGCCACCCTGGGGGCCAACAAGCCGCGTCGTCCTCTGCTGAACCCCACACGACCTCAGTGACCCCCGACCCCACGTACCCGCTGCCGTGACAGCATCTAGGGGCGCAGGCTGCCAACGAGCAGGCCGCCCAGCAGCGACCCCAGTGACCCCCGACCCCACGTACCCGCTGCCGTGACAGCATCCAGGGGCGCAGGGTGCCAACGAGCAGGCCGCCCAGCAGGATCTGCGTCGGGTGGTAGACGAGCAGCGGCACGGTGAGGAGCGACAGCTGCGGCATCCCCGCAAACACGATCTTCAGCATGGGCACACCTGGGGGCAACGCGCGGGGGCACGCGCACGCTCGGTCACGCTCGCGGGGTCACGCTCGCTGAGTCACGCTCGCTGAGTCACGCTCGCGGGGGTCACGCTCGCGGGGTCACGCTCGCGGGGTCACGCTCGGTCACGCTCGCGGGGTCACGCTCGCGGGGTCACGCTCGCGGAGTCACGCTCGCGGAGTCACGCTCGCGGGGTCACGCTCGGTCACGCTCGCGGGGTCACGCTCGCGGGGTCACGCTCGCGGGGTCACGCTCGCGGGGTCACGCTCGCGGGGTCACGCTCGGTCACGCTCGCGGGGTCACGCTCGCGGGGTCACGCTCGCGGAGTCACGCTCGCGGGGTCACGCTCGGTCACGCTCGCGGGGTCACGCTCGCGGGGTCACACTCGCGGAGTCACGCTCGCGGGGTCACGCTCGCGGGGTCACGCTCGCTGGGTCACGCTCGCGGGGTCACGCTCGGTCACGCTCGTGGGGTCAAGCTCATGGGGTCACGCTCGCGGGGTCACGCTCGCAGGGTCACGCTCGCGGGGTCACGCCGGTGGATTACACACAGCGAGTTGGTATTGTGGGGCAGTGCCGGATGAAGCTAGTGCGGGGCCTGTAGCAAATGTTATAAAGGAGCCCTAAATAAAAAACACGTAAATATTAACACACTTTTTTACTTGCACAGTCAAGTAATTTTTTGATTTAAAGCTTTCGTGACTGCAGGTATTCATATTCTTGGTTCTTTCGGTAAAGTCACGTAGAAGGGAAACAATGAAATAAAAATATAAAACAATATTGTTTCATGTTTATGATTTTATTGTTTCCCTTCTACGTGACTTTACCGAAAGAACCAAGAATACAGTAAAGTCATTGTTTTTCAATCGCTATACAGCCAGATAATTCGACAAATCGCTAAACTTAGACACCCAGTCGTTCATAAAAGTTGAAGGCAGTATAGTACTATAGTAATAGAGCAAATGCAGAATCACCGAATCGGAATTGATAGCTTGAAAGCGTTTAGAGCGGGGCCCTTGAAGTGCGGGGCCCGTGGCTTACGTAGCTACTTTTGCTCCTAGGATAATCCGGCACTGCTGTGGGAGGCACATTTGGTGCATCTGCCAGTCACTTCAGTCAGTCAACCCGCGGCACCTGGGTCTGTTCCGTGACCTCCTTGCCAGCGAGCCTCCCACAATTCAAGTGGCCTCAAGGTGCACGCAGCCTGGCACAAGCGCCGTGGTGACGTCACCACCACTTAGTGGGGAACGGCGACTGTCTGCGTGTCTCTGGGTGTGCGTCCGGACTCCCTCCGCCAGCTGCCCCGGGCCCCGGCATCTCCTCCCCCCCCACCCACCCCCCTAGGTACCGAGCGTCAGCGACTTGTGGGTCGAGCAGAAGACGATGGCGACCGTGTCGGCCGGAGTGAAGCTCGAACCGTCCCTGTGGGAGGGGCGAGGGTTAGAGTTGGGGGGGAGGAGTGTAGTCGGGAGGGGGAGGAGTGTAGTCGGTAGGGGGAGGAGTGTAGTCGGGAGGGGGAGGAGTGTAGTCGGGAGGGGGAGGAGTGTAGTCGGGAGGGGGAGGAGTGTAGTCGGGAGGGGGAGGAGTGTAGTCGGGAGGGGGAGGAGTGTAGTCGGGAGGGGGAGGAGTGTAGTCGGGAGGGGGAGGAGTGTAGTCGGGAGAGGGAGGAGTGTAGTCGGGAGGGGGAGGAGTGTAGTCGGGAGGGGGAGGAGTGTAGTCGGGAGGGGGGGGTAGTGGAGGGGAAGGGGCGGGGTCAACGTGGCCCTGCCCATCACGGTCTCCGTGGGGTAGCGAAGCACCAGGGTGCACCACCCCACTCCATGCCACCCTGCTCCACATTGTCAAGCATGCCACATCACACCACACCGCACCAAGCTGACTTGCACCAAGCCAAGCCATGCATTGCAAGGCCAAGACACAGCACTCCCGTGTACCGCCATACCGCGCTTCGTCACGTCACCACGCCACGCAGACCACGACACCGTGCCTCACCATACCGCACCGAGTCGTACCACACCGGACCATACCGCACCTGGGCCACACCGCGCCCTAGCCCCGGGGTCTGGGAGACGGGGAAACACAAATCATGGGAAGTGGGTTCATGTGGTTCGTTCACAAGTCCCGTGTAGGGGCACACGCTGTGGTGTGGCGTGATGTGCGTGTGGTGTGTGTGTGGTGTGTGTGGTGTGTGTGTGTGTGATAGGAGGTGTGTGGTGCGTGTGGTGTGTGTGTGTGATACGTGGTGTGCGGTAGCGTGTGGTGTGTGTGTGTGAGATAGGTGGTGTGCGGTAGCGTGTGGTGTGTGTGTGTGATAGGTGGTGTGCGGTGTGTGTGTGTGATACGTGGTGTGCGGTAGCGTGTGGTGTGTGTGTGTGTGATACGTGGTGTGCGGTAGCGTGTGGTGTGTGTGTGATACGTGGTGTGTATGTGTGTGATACGTGGTGTGCGGTGCGGTCCATGTACTTATGCGACGCGTGGCGCGTGTGGTGTGCGTGTTGGCCGTGTCTGGTACGTGGTGGTGGCACGCCTTCAGAGGTGCTCGCTAACAGCGCTTGCCCTCACAGTCTGTTGAAGGCTACAGATCTGTGTGTGTGTGTGACGGGAAGGGGTGGACACACCTGGTGGAGATCATGAAGGTGAGCAACATGAAGCTGAGCTGGATGAGGAGGACTGCAGGAGAGACGGGACGAGGGTCACAAAAGTGCAAAAGCGACGCATGCACACGCTCACACACAAAGACAAAGACGCCCCATATAGCCATAGCAAACTTTTGGTGCAAGTGCTGTTCACGGGCAACTTTGAAGGCAGGGACGGCACACGAGGCAGGGGGTGGGTGCCCAGCACCATGCCCCGCCGCCTTTGTCTCCCCATGTTGACACATCGTGCCTAGGGGAGGCCCAGGACCGGTTCAGATGATTGTTACTGGTGTTGGCCGTGAGCGGGAATCGAACTCGGGTCGCCATGCTCATAGAGCAGCGCACTCACACCACTATGGCTAAACCACACACACACACGCACGCGCGCACACACACACACACACGCATACACACACACAACAACAACCGCCATTCGCCACTAAGTGGCGGTGACGTCACCACGACGCTTGTACCAGGCTATGTGCACCTTGAGGCCACGTGAAGTGTCGAATGCCTGCTGGCAGGAGGTCACGGGGCAGTCCCAGGTGCCACGGGTCAACTGAGATGACTGAGATGACTGGCTGATGCACCACCTGTGCCCCCTACTGTGCCAACCTGCTGTGCTTTAGCCACCCGGCGCTCCGCTCGTTGTTGTGAGCGTCGCTCCTCCGCCCTCCGTTGTTGTTGGAGGGCGACTGCCTCCAACTGCCCAGTAGCGTCCTTCACAAGCCTCCTCCACAGAGACCGATCTTGACACCGCTGGTACCAGTCATCGGCAAGTCCACTCAGCTCCACGTTCTCCTGTACCACATCACTCCATCTCTTCTCTAGCCCGTGCCACGCCCGTTTAGCCCCCTCGATCCGGCCGAACAAAAGCTGCTTGGGCATGTGGTGATTGGGCATGCAGGCTACATGGCCCAGCCAACGCAGCCTTGCCTGCCGGAGGAGCTCACCGATGAGACTTTGTCCAGATCTTTCGAGGATTTGTGAGCTCCTCACACAGTCCAGCCTGGTTAAACCCAGGACTGATCGTAGGCAGACTAGCCTAAATGTTTCTAACCGGCGGAGATGTTCCATTAGGGGGGGTCCACGTTTCGCAAGCGTAGATAAGGGAGAGAATGACCGTGGCCGAGAAGACCTGAAGCTTAGTGCGGAGCGACAGACCAGGTAGCTTCCACACAACGGTTACGCAACCGATGAAAGATAATGCCGCTCGACTAATTCGCAGTGAGACCTCTGCTGTTAAACCGGAGCCGGTAATGAGCACACTGCCCAGGTGTGGGAAACTCTCCACTCTCCCCACAACTGTCCCATCACCGATTGGAAGTTGTGTGGGTGGAATGCCCATGGTACAAAATACCCAGGTAGGTGCCTCGTTTTGGTGGGGCTGATGGTAAGGCCCCACCTCTTAGTGGCACACTCCAGTTTCAGCAGCATCGCCTCCAACTCCTCCTCTGAGTGAGTCGCAATTACCAGGTCGTCGGCATACATAACGTGGTTGACCAATAGGGAGCCATCCCTTGACCGCACCTGAGTGGGCGAGTGGGCGAGGGATGAGTGGATGAGTGGGCGAGTGAGCGAGTGGGCGAGTGGGTGAGTGAGCGAGTGGGTGAGTGAGCGAGTGAGCGAGTGGGCGAGTGGGTGAGGGGTGAGTGGATGAGTGGGCGAGTGGGCGAGGGGTGAGTGGGCAAGGGGTGAGTGGGCGAGTGGGCGAGGGGTGAGTGGGTGAGTGGGCGAGTGGGCAAGGGGTGAGTGGGTGAGTGGGCGAGTGGGCGAGGAGTGGATGTACAGTGAATGGGTAGAAGGCAGGTAGTGCGTGGGGGTGGGTGGCGAGTCTCGTGGCCTCACCCAGCGTGACGACGGCGAGCAGGCTGGCGGGCTCGAGCGCCGTGTCTGGCCGGGCGAATGTGTCGCAGAACGTGCTGTAGATGATCGCCAGCAGCACCACGCTGCTCACGGCACCGAACGGAGGCTGCCGCCGCTCCATCCACTCACGCACGCGGCTACGCACCACCTGGAGGGGGGGGGGGGGCGGAGTGGGGGGAGCGAGGCACACGGCAGGGGAGCGAGTGAGAAGGAGTTTGTCAACGATGGAGCCGCCCCCCCACCGCCTCAGAGAACGCGTCGCGAGAGAGAGTTGCCGCATGACGCATCTCGTTCCAACACTCGAAAGGGCACCCCCCCTCCCCCCCCCCCTCCCCCCCCCCCAGCTGCAGCTGTCCCTGTGCGGCGCAATGAGAGAGAGAGAGAGATGGGCGAGTGATTGGTCAGGGGACTGAGAAATGGGTGAGTAATGGGTGAGTAGGCGGTTAGGTTGGGGTGACCGAGTGGTGAGCACGGGGGGGGGGGGGGGTGGGCGAGTGGTGAGCAGGGGGTGAGGGATTGCGCGGGCGGGCACGGCATGCACAAGTACAAACTTCATTCTCACGGCTGAACTTTTCCTACAACAGTTTTTCCCGTCTGTGGGATAAAGTTTCGTGAGTGAGTGGGGCGTGGGAGCCAGCGCCTGGCGAGCACTGACGCGGTGCTTGTGGCGCGGCACGACGAGCCCAGGTTTATCGGACGATTCCCCAAAAATTGTCCGTGACAGCTGTGGGCGGCCTCGGCAAGATTGCCGAGAAGACCGCGCCAAATTCTGTTCTATTAGCGGGTTCATCCTCGCGCACTTCAAACGCGCTCTACCCGGCGCCCCCCAAAAAAATAAAAATCCACGGAATCAATTAAACACGCTGCAGTATCCTGACGGCGGCTTGAAACGCACAACTTCTCTGCCAGACATCAATATTTAATCCAAATGTGCTTTCATTAGAATATACTCCACTGGCTTCGCTTTTTGAACCGGGCAGAGCAGGCTTTACTGACAATAATCATGAAATGTTAAAGTCTTATTTGAGAGCCGGCTCCTTGCCTCGGACATTAAATATTCAGGGCAACCATCAGCGTTGCAGTGGGAAAATGAATAATCACACGATAACCGGCCGTGCAGAAACTAACAGCGCCGCCGCGCTGATCAAATATTAATCGGGTTCGAAGGTGCTTATTATTATGTATGAATATGCGGCCCTGATAAGGAGACAACAAGGCCGCTTCTCTTCCCGCAGCCTCGGCGGCACGGCCCGCGCGTAACGAGAGAGCCCGAGCCCGCGCCCGCGCCCGCGCCCGCCACTTTAAAGAGACGGAACAGTCGCGCGCCTCCTCGGTGCGCGCGCGTCACGGATACACGCTCGGCTTGCCGAGTCCACGCTGAAAAATTCATCAGGCTTTGGGCACCGTGGCCCTTTGAACGTCTCGCTGTTTTTGACAATACGGCAGCGCAGGCGAGGAGGAGGAATACCACAGGGTATTAAACGCCCCGCGCTATGGATTATTCCGCATGCATTATGCTAGTTGGTCAGGTTACGACGGGAGCACAAGTGCCTTCCCACCTCCGCGCTGGTGTGTCTGCGCGTGCGTCTGCGCGTGTGCGTGCGTGCGCGCGGGCGAGCGAGAGCGAGGGAGAGCAAACGAGCGGTCGCACACACGAGCGGGCGGGAGCGAGCGAGCGCGCGCTAACGTGCGAGCGGCGAGATGAAGACACAAACAGCACGCACGGACACACGGACGTGAACACGCGCGCAAACGTGAGGATAATGAGATGAAGACGCAAGCTCACACACGCACACAAGTAAACATACCCGTATACACGCCCCGGCACACGAGCGATCGCGCGTACACAAACATGCAGTCACAAAGAAGAAAACCACAAACCCCTGGAGGACATGCACACATACACTCCTACACACAGGCAAACAAATACACAGACAGACACAAGCATAAAGACATCAATACACAGCACAACACGCAAGCACAAACGTGCAGAAACCAACATGAAGATGCACGGCAGCAGAACTCGCTTACATGAAGATGCACCCCCACATACAGACACCTGCAGAAAAATGCCCCTCCTAACATAGATCCAAACACAAGCGTGAAGACACCAAGATGAGCACCCTATGCACTAACTCAAAGGCACAGTCACATAGTCACTTTAACATGTTTTCTTGTTCATGATTTTGTTGTTTGTTTGCTGCGGTTGCACCCGATTCAAGAGCGGAATGGCTCACAGGGCTATACCAAATAAATGGAACTATGGAACCATGGAACAACATCTACAACTTGAGTACGACGTTTCGCTGGTAATTACATCCAGCATCATCGGGCGATTTGCAGGAATAGAAGCCATCCAGCTGCTTCCGGACGACGTCACCATTGATCTTCTAGATATTGTCCTGGTGACGCTTGGCATCGTTGCAAGAGGAACGTCGCGTACCTCATTGAGCTAAACGTCGTTGTGAGAATAGCTCTTCGGCTTCCCCACGGTGAGCTCATACAATGATAATAATTACTGGCCGTTAACTCTTCAACTCGTAGTAATTTAATTAGTTGAGCCGTGTCGGGTGGTGGAGAGTTCCTAATGACACAGATTTAGCCAGATAATAACTCCGTGGATAAACTCAAAAATAAATTATTAATCATCCGCAGCGGGTACGTCCTGGGGAATTGTCCGACTTGCTGGGTTTGTCACTTCACCGGCGGCGGCGGTGGCCGTGATCCCAACGACGCGAGTCGACGCGGCACCCCCCCCCCCCCACCACCCCTTGGCCCCCCAGGCCCCCGGGAGGGAGCACGGCTCGGAGGAGACGCGAGGTGCCGCGATGCAGTCGAGCTCCATCCTCATCGAGCGACCACGCAAAACACTCGGCCACCAGCGCCAGCCAACCACTCGTCACTCAAGAGCCACGCCGGTGTGCGAGGGGGTCTAAGGCGGGGGGGGCCGGGCCTGGGGAGCCAAGGGCTGTGTGGCGGGGAGTGAGACTGCGTGGAGGCGGGCGCAAAAACAGCGGCGCGACATCACGGGGGAAGCGGAAGGAGAGAAGCTCTCCAGACACTGGGGCGGAAGAGGGCAGAGCTTCGTGAATGTGCGTCGTCTTGGGTGGAGCATCACCGACATTATCATCATCATTATCATCATCATCATGATTATAATACAACGGAAAAAAACGGAACATGCAATGTTCCGGGAAGAAGTACAGCTTGTCCGGGACCGGGTGGGCAGGGCGCCCCCCCGCCCCCCCCCCCACAAGCACCCCCTAGCACCGGCCCTGGCGTCAACCCTGCCCCCACGCACCGCCGATCCCACACCCGAAGTTCACCCGAGGCTCAATGGGGAGACGACGCAACGAGGGGGCGAAGATCCTCGCCCTCTCTCACCGTCCACGCGTCAACCGTGACGCGGGGTCAAGGCGGGGATGATGATTCCAGAGGGGTGGAGGGAGCAGTGGAGCAGAGGGAACCGTGAGCAGGCGAGGTGAGGAGGAGGGACCCACCTGGCCGATGACGAGTGGCACCACCACGGTCATGAAGAGCTGGAAGAAGATGGAGGTGAACGGAACGGCGGACGATGAGCCCAGCTGCACCACACACAGGGACACACGTCACAACCACACGCGTGTTACGTACACACACACACGTGATTTACGCGCGCACGCACACGTCATATACACACACACACTAACATACATGCCACGTACAGACATCATAAACGCAAAGATTCCCCTGTACATCCTTAACAGACTACAGGAACAAGTGCTGGTAGCAAGCACCTGTGAAAGCCGGCACGGCACACGATGGCGTGGGTGGTCAGAACCACGCCCGGCCGCCTTTGTCTCCCCAATGTTCATGTTTACACACAAGTTTAGATCATCGGGATCGTACCACAGTGCGCTAACCGCTACTCCACCGCTTCCCACGTATAACAATAACAACCGCCATTCGCCACTAAGTGGCGGTGACGTCACCACGGCGCTTGTGCCAGGCTACGTGCACGTTAAGGCCACGTGAAGAGTCGAACGCCCGCTGGCGGGAGGTCTCGGGACAGACCCAGGTGCCATGGGTTGACTGACTGAGATGACTGGCCGATACATCACCTGTGCACCCTACTGTGCCTACTTGCTGTGTTTTTCCCACTTACACGCACATATGTACACACATACACATCACATACACACAACATGGGAATACCACATATACATACGTATATATATATCACGTACACACACCTCACGCACAACAACATGGGAATACCACACACACACATCACATACAAAAACACGCGAAAGATGTACACACACACACACACGTGACCACACATCACATATTTTGTAGACACCGCACATAAAATACACACAGAGAATATAAACAACCACACACACGACTCGCACAAACAAGCATACAACGCTCGCACACACACCACAAAAGCACAAAGCAGACCGCGCACCACAAACACAGCATACAACAACACCTCCATCAATGCACACGATGGGGGTCGTGTTGCGGACTACTGCCGATGGCTATGTGTTGGCTGTGCTCATAGCTGTGGCGGTACTGATGGCGGTGGTGGCGTTAGTCGGTCCGTGGCCCCGTTGGTGCCATTGTCAGTGGACCTGGTTCAGGCAATGCTGGCGATTACGGCGGTTACGCTGGTGGCGTAGGTGGTGATTACGGCGGTTACGCTGGTGGCGTAGGTGGTGATTATGGCGGTTACGCTGGTGGCGTAGGTGGTGATTATGGCGGTTACGCTGGTGGCGTAGGTGGTGATTATGGCGGTTACGCTGGTGGCGTAGGTGGTGATTACGGCGGTTACGCTGGTGGCGTAGGTGGTGATTATGGCGGTTACGCTGGTGGCGTAGGTGGTGATTATGGCGGTTACCCTGGTGGCGTAGGTGGTGATTATGGCGGTTACGCTGGTGGCGTAGGTGGTGATTACGGCGGTTACGCTGGTGGCGTAGGTGGTGATTATGGCGGTTACGCTGGTGGCGTAGGTGGTGATTATGGCGGTTATGCTGGTGGCGTAGGTGGTGATTATGGCGGTTACGCTGGTGGCGTAGGTGGTGATTATGGCGGTTATGCTGGTAGCGTAGGTGGTGATTATGGCGGTTACGCTGGTGGCGTAGGTGGTGATTATGGCGGTTACGCTGGTGGCGCAGGTGGTGATTATGGCGGTTATGCTGGGGCACAGGTGGTGATTATGGCGGTTATGCTGGTGGCGTAGGTGGTGATTATGGCGGTTACGCTGGTGGCGTAGGTGGTGATTATGGCGGTTATGCTGGTGGCGTAGGTGGTGATTATGGCGGTTATGCTGGTGGCGTAGGTGGTGATTATGGCGGTACGCTGGTGGCGTAGGTGGTGATTATGGCGGTTACGCTGGTGGCGTAGGTGGTGATTATGGCGGTTATGCTGGTAGCGCAGGTGGTGATTATGGCGGTTATGCTGGTAGCGTAGGTGGTGATTATGGCGGTTATGCTGGTAGCGTAGGTGGTGATTATGGCGGTTATGCTGGTAGCGCAGGTGGTGATTATGGCGGTTATGCTGGTGGCGCAGGTGGTGATTATGGCGGTTATGCTGGTGGCGCAGGTGGTGATTATGGCGGTTACGCTGGTGGCGTAGGTGGTGATTATGGCGGTTATGCTGGTGGCGTAGGTGGTGATTATGGCGGTTATGCTGGTAGCGCAGGTAATGACTACGGCGGTTACGCTGGGGCGTAGGTGGTGATTATGGCGGTTATGCTGGTAGCGCAGGTGGTGATTATGGCGGTTATGCTGGTGGCGCAGGTGGTGATTATGGCGGTTATGCTGGTGGCGCAGGTGGTGATTATGGCGGTTATGCTGGTGGCGCAGGTGGCGATTCTGGTGGCCGAAGCCGATGCTCGCGCTGGGAGTTGCCGTTACTCACAAACATCAGCAGCAGCAGGGGCGTCACCACGATGCCCTGCAGGAAGAGAACGCACGCCATGAGTCGAAGGTCCCAACCCTTCCGCCCCGCACCCAACGGATCAGATCGCGAGACGGCAACAGGGGCAGGGGCTAAGCAGTGCCACGGGGAGGGGATGCGGAGGAAAGGGATGCACGCCAACAGAACTCACCCCACCTGCTGCTCCCACTCTACCCAGGAAACACCACCGCCCCCGCTGCTGCTGCTGCTGGGCCAACTATCGCGCAAGCGAGGGTGACCTGGGGGGCAGCCGCCAGCGACGCTCGGGGCTATGTTAACACTCAATTACGCACGTGCCCGGGGGCCGTCTGCTGAATCTGCCCAAAACTCCCCAGCTCCCCGCTCCACACTTCCCGTTCCGCGAACTCCTCACCACCCCGCCGGGAGCTCCTCACCATCCCATCCAGCTAGCTCCTCGTCATCCTCACGGTTCCCGTGAGCACCTCGCTCGGGAGCGACCTCTCGCCTCCAGGGCGAGGGGTCGGGCCGCGGGCTCGCGGAGCGCCAAGCGGCCACGGGGCGCGGGGGGGCACGTGGGGCACGTGGGGCACGTGGGGCACGTGGGGCACGTGGGGCACGTGGGGCACGTGGGGCACGTGGGGCGCGTGGGGCACGTGGGAGCGAGCGAGGAGCGGGGGGCCGCGCTGCGGTGGTTTCCGCGAACGGCACTGCCGGACACGCTCATCGGTTCGCGAGCCGAGACGGGGTGCGTGCGGCCTACGGCGAGCACCGGGCACCGCGGGCGTCCGCAATGTCAGGTGGCTCGGGTTCGAATCCGGTTCCGTGGTTTGCGGTGACGCGCCGTGAAAAGGCAGCTCGCGGAAAGAGGCGAGGGAGCGGCCCCCAGCTGCGCGGGGAAAACCTGCGGGCGAGGGACCCCCGGGGGCGAAGAAGGAACCCGTGTGTGTGAAGAGGACCCCTGTGAGTGATGCACGGAGCTTGGCGGTTAGGAGCGGAATCCGTGGGTAGATGTGTGAATGAAGAAGCCCTGGGGCGAGTGACTCCACCGACTCACAGTGGCCGATTCGGCTCGGCGTGCCCGGCCGTGCTCTGGCGCCCAGGCGCTCGCCGTGGTGCCTGGCGGCGGCGCGTGTGACTAAGCTCCAATCTGTAGCTCGTTAATATTTAATTGGGCAGTGCCAACGCGAGCCGTCTCCATTACCAGCCCCGCGAGGACCGGGATGGACGTGGGCAGCACGGGGGGAGCCGAGGCGATCCGGACCCACACGCAGAGACACACAGGCACAAGCACGCACAGACACACAGAGACGTACGCAGAGACACACAGGCACACGCACGCACAGACACACAGAGACGTACGCACAGACACACAGGCACACGCACGCACAGACACACAGAGACGTAGGCACAGACACACAGGCACACGCACGCTGAGACACACAGAGACGCACGTCCAGACAGTCACACGTGCACACACACATACAGAGACGTACATACAGACACATATACAGACAACAGGGCACATATATAACACTAACAACACTCGCCATTCGCCACTAAGTGGCGGTAAAGTCACCACTGCGCTTGTGCCAGGCTAGGTGGACTTTGAGGCCACGTGAAGTGTCAAAGACTTGCTGGAAGGTCACGGGACAGACCCAGGTGCCATGGGTTAACTGAAATGACCGTCAGATGCACCACCTTTGCTCCCAACTTTGCCAAATTTCTGCCTTTCAGGCACCTGGCGCGGCGCTTGCTGTTGTGAGCGTCACTCCTGTGCCCTCCACTGTTGCTGGAGGGCGAATGCCTCCGACACAGCATAATGCACATACACACACACGCTTACATTCACGTACACACTCTCATATGGGCTCACACACACAAGACTCTCACACACTTAAAAGACTCGGACACTTACCTACACACACTCAAAGATGCTCACACACGGAAGCGATCTCGCACACATACTCAAACACTCTTTACACACTCTCACACGTATTCGCTCACACAGAGATGCCACACGTAGCCTGCACAGGCTCTTGTGGCAAACGCTGCTGTTGAGTAGCTGTACAAAGGGGTGGTGGGGCCAGCACCACAATCACTCACGAATGCCAAATAAGACAACAACAACAACCGCTGTTCACCGCTAACTGGCGGTAACGTCACCATGGTGTTTGGGCCATCCTATGTGCACTTTGAGGCCAGGTGAAGTGTTGAAGGCTCACTGACAGGAGGTTACGGGACAGACCCAGCAGGTGCCATGAGTTGCCTAAGATGACTGGTTGATGCACCACCTGTGCCCCCTACTGTGCCAACCTGCTGTGCTTTAGCCACCCGGCGCTCCGCTCGTTGTTGCGAGCGTCGCTCCTCCGCCCTCCGTTTTTGTTGGAGGGCGACTGCCTCCAACTGCCCAGTAGCAGCGTCCTTCACGAGCCTCCTCCACAGAGGCTGATCTTGACACCGCTGGTACCAGTCATCGGCAAGTCCACTCAGCTCCACATCCTCCTGAACCACATCAGTCCATCTCTTCTCGAGCCCATGCCGCGCCCGTTTAGCCCACCCTATATCCAGCCAAACAGAAGCTGCTTGAACATGTGGTGGCTGGGCATGCGGGCTACATGACTCAGCTAACACAGCTTTGCATTCCGGATGAATTAAACCGATGGGATTCTGTCCAGATCTTTCAAGGATCTTCGAGCTCCTCGCACAATTCAGCCTGCTGGTCAAACACAGGGATGGAACCGCATTGGAGTTGAATAATCCTTGCCAAACACACACACGCACTCACACACCGACAAAGATCACCCATATAGCCGTAACAGACTTTAGGGGCAAGTGCTGTTAGCGAGCACCTATGAAGGCCGGAACGGTACAGGAGGGGGTGGGGTGGCCAGCACCACGCCCGACCACCTTTGTCTCCCCAGTGGCGATGTTTAGACATCGCACCAGGTACTCATTTGAGGCTGAGTCTACCTAGGGGGAGGCTCACGACCGGTTCAGATAATCGTCACTGCTGTTGGCCGTGAGCGGGAACCGAGCTCGGGTCGCCGGGTTCGCAGCGCAGCGCGCTCACCGCCACACACTGCCACAAGCACTCGCACGCGCGCGTAACGCAATCACGCCGCACTTTGTTACCGAAACACAAACAACAACAACAGCAGCAGCAGCGTCCCCGCTTGAGGGTAACAATCGGCGACGTTGCTCGACTACGGCGGCGGCACGAAGGCCGGAGCGCTCGCCTGGGCCGCCGCACAAACATCGTTTGCCGCGGCCGCGCCATTAATCTAGGGCGCGCGTAACGCGGTTACCCGGGGTGCGCGTAACGCGGTTAACGCGGCCACGGAGCGGCCCAATCGAGTTAGTCCCAGGAGCGCCTTTAATTGCGAGCGAGACGGACGCGCCGGGCGACGCGAGCCGACGCGTCTACGGACCCCCCCCCACCTTCCCCTACCCCGCGGCTCGGCGCGGACAACAAAAGATCCCCCCCAGCACCCCCCCGCAGCCTTTAATAGACTGTTGGGGCAAGTGCCGTGAGCGAGTCGACGTAAGGGAGGGCTCAGGACCGGTGCAGGTATTCGTCACCGATATTGGCTGCGAGCGGGAATCGAACTCGGACCGCTGGGTTCGCAGCGCAGTGCACTGACCACTACACTTCCGCTTTCCACATATTATAGAATATGCACACGCACACATCGGACTGCATGCGCAACACATGACCGCGTGTGCACACACACACAACCTAATACGTACAAACCTAAACCACACAGACACGCACAACAGCTGCCATTCGCCACTGAGTGTCGGTCACATCTACGCAGCACCTGTGTGCCAGGCTAGATGCACTATGAGGCCATGTGAAATGTGGAAGGTTTGCTGACAGGAGGTCATGGGACAGACCCAGGTTCCATTGGTTAACAGAGATACTGGCAGAGCCACCACCTGTGCGAACTTGCTGGATATCAGCCGCCAGGCGCTTCGCTCGCTGTTGTGAGCGTCGCTCCTCTGTCCTCCGAGGGTAACTGCCTCCAACTGCCCAGTAGCGTCCTTCACGAGCCTCCTCCATAGGGGCCAATCTCAACACCGCTGGTACCAGTCATCGGCAAGTCCACCCAGCTCCACATCCTACTGTACAACATCAGTCCATCTCTTCTCGAACCCATGGTGGCCAAACAGAATCTCCTTGGTCATGTGGTGGCTAGGCAGCAATTACCAGATAATCAGCAGACATAACGTTTGACCAATAGGTAGCCATGCTGTGACAGTACCTGGACATCGCTCAACCTTCTATTGTATCTGCACCGGATGGAAATTCCTCCGATACAGCCATAAAAAGCTTGAACTACGTGCTCAATGAAGATGTTAAATAGTGTAGGAGCCAGAGGACATCCCTGTCGCAAGGTGAACCGGGAATGGTTCTCACACCCGGCCACGCAGCTTTACACAGCCTGGACCACGTGCACACACACACACAGCCCAATACATACAACTCGAGTCACACACACACACACACAGAACTACACAAAGACCTACAAAGGCACAAACACACACACAGAACCACACACACACATTAACTGAACCTTATGTAAAACTACAAGCACACAAACTACACGTAGATCTATAAAGACAAAGATCCCACTATAGTCTTAACAGACTGTTGGGGCAAGTTCTGTTGGCGAGCACCTTGAAGGCCAGCATGGCACACGAGGCGGTGGGGGTGGCCAGCACCACATACAGAACCACACACACACAAACTGAACGACACATAGAACTACACTCACACACAGAACGACACACACACGGAGGTGTGTGGAAGGCTTTGGTTATAAGCTCACAAATCTTCACCAATTGTACCATCTCTCTGGCTTTCTATTTACGTGCAATGACAAAGGGCCATTATCCGAAACGCCGCCTATCGCGTATGTTTCAGGTCACACACAGTGGTGTTGTTATTCTTCACATGGAACATGTCGAGTTCTTTGCTGTGCTTGCGTACCACTGCCAACGCAGCAGCAGCATCATCACCAGATCATTTGTTTCGCAGCCCAAGCGCTGTCCTGCGCGTTACCCCCGAGCCCAGCTGAGTGGGCGGCATCGGCCGCTGGGAGCTTCTCCAACAGCGCAACGCCAGAGCCGACTCTCAGCCCATCGCCTCCCGCGTTTCCGTGCCAATTGCTCGCGGGGAGAGACGCAGCCCACGGAGCATTCGGCCGCTCCTCGTGGACACGCGAGCGGAGGCCGCGGCCCCTCCGGCCGCGCGGCGCGGCTCCGCACGTGGCACGTACGGCCCTCCTGCCAAGCCATTGTTGGGCGAGGGCCTCCGAACGCCGTCCAGCTCGTGGAGGTTACAGTGACCGTACTTGGCCACGCCGGTCATGGTGGGTTTGTGTAGGCGGGGAGCACAGAGGTGCAAGTAAAGCGATGGGTTTTGCCGCACTGCCCTCTGCTGCCCACCGCATAGCTGCGCCGCAGCAGCAGCCTATAGCACCCGATGTACGAAATGGTGGTGGTCGCCCATGCAAGCACCATCCAGGCTAAACCTCGGCTAATGCTTCACGAATCAGAACGACTTGTAAATCGAGTGCGTCGTTACGGCACCCTGATGTCACAGGGACGTCACCCCCACACGTGACACGGAGAGTCCGTGACGTGACGCACACGACGGTTGTTTGGCCGAACCGTGAATTTAAGATATTATTATTATTATTTAGTCATGGAGCCATAAACTCACTTGGGCAATCTCTGGGCGCACGGACTAGTCGGCTCGTAACAATTCACTCCCGTCAATTCATTCGCTCGTTATCCAATTTTTTTATGGGCACAAGTTGAACGTAACAAGAACATTAGGATGCAAGGGTGAGTAAAGAGGGAGACGAGGCGTGAGATCGCGGCCGGAGGAGGACGCCGTCGCGACACGCCGTGCAGGAGGAGCGATCGCACCACCGCCCCGCGGCGGTTCCACACGCACCTTTGCGATCGCGCAGAATCGGCAATCTATTCTCATTCACCTTCACTTCACACCCTCCTCCTGCCCGCCCGCCCGCCCACCCCGCGTTCTGCGTCCTGTCTCGCGACCATAGCTCAGTCCGCGCCGTTCACCTAAACCTGACGGTCATCGATAATCCGCACGTCGTTTGCATAATATGCGAATAATTGATTCACCCCCCCCCCCTACCCCGGCACGACCGACCGCGTAGATCGCAGGCGGTAGCTCAGAGATTTAATCCATGTCGACTTCACATCCACCGTCCCCCTCTTCTTATTCTTCTGCCATTTTAATAATCGTCATCATCGGCCACCTTCATCATCATCATCGTCGGCCAAGGTGAATCCGCTGCTGGATGCGGATTCACCTCTCAGAACATCCCAAAGCCACCACCTCTTTACCTTCGGATGTTTGTTTTTCAATACAACGCACACACGTTGCTGCTGGGGGGATTGGGAGCCACATGGTTGGTGTTCACGTTTCAAATCACGTATTGGTTTGGTTCAGATGCGTTACGTCCATCGACGGTTAATTACACAAAGTAAACAAATCTCATGGACGAAGCTCCACGCTCCCGTGGCACAGTCCAGGACACACAGAGCCCAGGAGGGCGTAGCTACAAGGTAAGAGCCGCTCGCTGGAGTCTGCGGATGGATCACCTATCTTTCTCGAATCACCGTTCATATCGGCTCGCCATGGGCTGGTTCGCCGTGGGCTGGCGCGCCTCTCTCTCGCTCTCTTTCTCCTGCGCCCCCCCCCCCATCCTTACCACACGCCGCCAATCCCCCACGACGTGCCCCCACCCCGCCACTCCCCCGTGCCCCCCGGGGAGGCCCCCCCATCTCACCGGGAAGCAGTGACTCAGCCAGCCAGAGCGCTCGCCCCCACAGACGCTCGTGACTAATGCGGCAGCTCGGCGCGGCGCGGGGGGCCCGCGGCGAGCGGGGGCTGAACCCTGGCGCGGCGCCGCGGGTAAAAGCAGCTTAACGCAATTACACGCCGAGGGGGGGCAAGGGGCACGGGGATTGGGGGGGGGGGGGCGCGGTAATGGGATCCGAGTTGGTCTCTTCCCACCCGCGCCCCCCTTGTTGGGCCTCGCAGGGGTTTCACGACTTCCCCCCCCGCCCCCGACTATCGTGGGGGGGCGGCAGAGAGCGAGGTGCAAGTAACGCTCGTGCGATTCTGTGGGAGTCTAACCGAGTGTGTGTGTCCCTGTGTGTGTATTGATATGTGGGGAGCGGTGGTGTAGCGGTTAGCGCGCTGCGCGATGAACCCGGTGACCCGAATTCAATTCTCGATCACGGCCACCACCAGTGACGATGATATGAACCGGTCCACGGCCTCCCCGAGGTTGATTCGGCCTCAAATGAGTACCTGGTGCGGTGTGTAAACACCGCCACTGGGGAGACAAAGGCGGCCGGACGTGGTGTTGGCCACCCACCCCCTCGTGTGCCATGCCAGCCTGCATAGGTGCTCGCTAATAGCACTTGCCCCAAGAGTCTGTTAAGGCTATACGGGGTATCTTCGTCTCTGTGTTTGCAGAGAGTGCGTGGCCGATGACGGATGAATGCCCATGTGTGCGCACGCTTCTCTCACCAGAAAACTCCCGAACGCCGAGTTGAAAATCGCCGCAGCCTGCGGAGAGAAGGAGCGGGGAATGAGCACGGGCAGCGAGGCCATCAACCACGCACGGCCGCAACGAGTCGCGACCGCTCGTTAGCGGGCACCTCGCACCCCCACGGCAACCTCTGACCTTCGACGGTGGCACCAAGCTCGGCCCGGGCCATCAGGGAGTACTCTTAAGGGTCAAACCAATACCAGGGCCCCACACGGTCTGAGTCTTTTTCGGGAGGGCCCTGCCAAGTTGGAGGGGTGGTGTTGCTGCTGCTGCTGCTGCGTAATCCCAAATCAGTGATTGCCAGGTGATTTTTTGCTACTGGGATACCGGTTACACCGCACGGTTTTATTTTTTTAGCTATGGGAAGAAACCCGAGAACCCGGAGGAAGCGCACGCAGGACAGGGGGAGAGGGACAGCACACAAACTCCAACACAAACTCCAACACAAACTCCAACACACTGGGACCGAACTCCTCGAGTTGCGGACCACCCTGGCCGCCGGTTCCATCGCTCGCGGCCGCCAATCGTCGTGGGCGGCGGTGGGTGAAGGGATCGGGCACGAGTGCGGGCGAAGAGGTGAACGACGTGCGGGCGCCTTCGCACTCGCTCGCGTTGCACGGGGCGGCCGAGTGCCGGTGGCCGTTTGTGCGCGCCGTAATTTGCAGGGCGTCAGCGGCAATTAGCGGGGAGCGGGCGCGACGCGCGCTCCCAAGCGCATTAACCCTCTCTCCGTCGGCGATCGCGAAAGTGGCGACACGCCAACGTTCGCTTCGTGCTCCCCCGCCACCTCCGCCAGCCGCTCGCGGGCGCCACGCGGCGCCGGCTCAGAGCGGCGGCGCCGGCTGACCCCGGGCGGACTGCTCGCGCGCCGCCACGCGGGGTTAAGTGAGCGCGGCGGGGAGCGGAGCGCGTGGCGGGGAGCGGGGCGCGGGAGCGTCGCGGGCGAGGGGATTAAGCGCGTGCCGCCCCGCGCGGGCCCCTGACACTGATGGATGGTGCTCCCCGGCACCGGGCCCCGGGCAGCCGCGAAACGTCACCGGCAGAGTCTCGCTCCCGCGAGCGGAGAGAACCGGGCACCGCCAGCGTGGCCCCCGGCGCAGGACCGGTGGCCCAGGTCTCCGCGCTTCACGAGAAATGAAGACCCATCGGTTCCTGCTGCTCCATAGACACTCGACCCCCTCTCTTAGAGTTGGGGGTGGCGGTGGTTCGTGATCGTTGGCGTCGTTCCGCTTGTTATTACCAAGGTCATCAATTCTAATTCTTCCGGTTTACTCCCGTGAGCGATAAATCGCGTGCAAAATAACGACAGAACAATCGATGATGGTTTTGTGGGGCGAAGAAAACGTTCACACGTGGGGCCTCGTGCCACACGCTCACCTCGTTGCCCCCCACGGCCTTGGTGAGGATGACAGCGGAGGAGACCGGCGGGGGCATGCAGGCCACCACCTGCAACCTGTCACACGCGCACACACACACACATATCAACACATACAAAGATAAAAATACAAAGATCCCCCATATGGCCTTACCAGTCTGTTGGAGCAAGTGCTGTTAGCGAGCACCTATGAAGGCTGGCATGGCACACGAGGGGGTGGCTGGCCAACACCACGGTCGGCTGTCTTTGTCTTCCCAGTGGCGATGTTTACACACCACAACAGGTACTCATTTGAGGCCAGGTACTCTGGGAAGCGCAGCATCATCGGGCGAATTGCCCGATGATGCTGGATGTAATTAGCAGCGAAACGTCGTACTCAAACTGTAAATGTTGTGGAATCACTCTTCACCACACCGGTGGGCTAAAGTAGTGAACTAATTGTCTTTTGTCAACGTGGCACTTTTTTGCTGATTGGCCGTGTCGGGTGATGGAAGGTTACGACACATTTATAAATAACGCGATCTAATCCAAAAACCTTTATTATGGATTATTATCCTGGTTTACCCACCGAGTATCAAGACTCACATTCGGGAGGGCCCTGCCGAGTTTTCGCAGCAAGTGGCGATGTCGCGAATGCGTGCGATCTCAATCGAGTCACTTGCAGGTAATTGTTCAGCAGCTGGGACGTTGCGTGGCCAACACCAGTTCCACCACTGTGTGTGTGTGTCAGAGCTATGAGAGGAAATAAGAAAACCCGGAGGGAACCCCACGCGCAACAGGGGGAGAGAACACACAAACTCCACACGGAGAGGCACCCGGCTCGGGATTCGAACCCACGGGGCTTCTTGCCGCTAGGGGACGAGTGCGGCGAGTGCGGCCCCCGGCGCGGTGCAGGGTAAGGCGCGTTTGGTCTCTCGCGCACCCTTGCAGCAGCCATGGGTTGAGTCCCGTGAGCGCCAGCAGCCGCAGCAGCAGCCACACGGCGAGCGGGAAGAAACCGAGCGTGAAGCCCTGCACCAGCATGTGCAGCCGCACGTGCAGCAGGGCGCTCGTCAGCTCCTGCGCCCGGTGCCACACACAGACAGCATCGTTACCGGTAACGTCTCACACACACACACACGCAGTACCGTCACACGCACACGCAGTACCGTCACACACACGCAGTACCGTCAGACACATGCAGTTCCATCACACACGTACCGTCACACACACACATGGCCTCGTTACCAGCACCTTCACACACACACAGCACCGTCACACACACAGCACCGTCACACACACAGCACCGTCACACGCGCACACACACAGCGTGAGAGCCGGTGGCCCTGTCGCCAGGGAGAGCCTGCGCCCCAGGGGGGTGACGCGGCAAGGAGACGCCCCCAGCCCCTCACCACCCTCCTCCCCGTACCTCCGTCTTGAGCGAGAGGCCGCTGTTGAAGAAGATGGCCGAGACGGCGACGTAGGTGATGGTCACCTCCGGCTTCAGGGGCCCTGGGAACGAGCACGGGTGCCAGTGTCACGGCAGCGGCACGAGCGGTGTGTGCGGCATGGGCAAAGCGACACGGGTAGCACGAGCGGTGTGTGCGGCATGGGCAGAGCGACACGGGTAGCACGAGCGGTGTGTGCGGCATGGGCAGCAAAGTTCCGGTTGCAAATAATTAAATAGTGGACCCCCCCCCCCCGGGGAGCCCTCCATCTGCTTCATATCCCAGGGCCCGGGTGATAGCCCAGCGGGTGGTGCCTTCGCCGCTTGTTGCAAAGGTTCACGGTTCCATTCCAGCGGCCGTCCCGGTTAATACTGCGCTGTGTGCATCGACCCTAAAAACAAATCCCCTACGCGTCACCTGCTTCACGGTGGAAGCGAGAGATCCCGCGACGCCAGCCGCAAGAGTAGAACATCATCAAGAGTAGAACATCATCAAGAGTAGAACATCATCAAGAGTAGAACATCATCAAGAGTAGAACATCATCAAGAGTTGGCCATCATCGCGTGCCAGCGCCTGGGTCCGAATCCGCTAAAATTAATCCCGCAAATCACTGGACTGGGATTCTAGGTGGTAATCATCGCCTCTCCCTACTGGCAGACGAACGCCCCCGGCCACTGGAGCGAAGGAGACTCATCCCCGAGTTTACCGCCTGCTTACAACAATGTCATCTGGACTGGGCCGTTGGGGGGGGACAAAAACGGTGGTTTTAAGGACGATCCGTATCCGTAGGGGACTATCATCAATAGTTTTTTGCTTGTTAAATACCGGCCATCACAGCAGCCACGATCTATCCACTGCTGGATGAAATCCTCCCTCGCCATCTCTCACGGCGCTGGCACTCGGCGATGCGCTCCCCCCCTCCACCCTCCATGGAGCTTCGCCCTCCGTCGTTAGTCTCGACCACCCGAGCCATCAATCCGAGACCTTCCTGCCAAGTTCCTCCTTGTCTGTCTGTGCAAACCTGCGTCGTGACACGCGGGGGTCGGTGGGGTGGGGGCTGCGAGGCGCGACACGTGGAGGCGGACCCCGGCCGCGTCAGTGGTGCCACGTGTCGCGCTACACTCCGTAACCCTCCCCCCACCCAACTCCACTCGGGACCCCCCCCCCCCCCACCGAACTCCACTCGGAACCCCCCCCACCCAACTCCGCTCGGGACCCCCCCCGAACTCTGCTCCCGGTCTTCCCACGACCCCGCGCCGCGGCACCACACTTTGTTGTTGTTGGGGGACCCGCGCGAACCCCTTGGGAGCGGACCCCGGAGCGGACCCCGCTCCCAAGGGGTGACGCTGACCCCCCCCCCCCCGTCAGACCCCCCCCCCACTGCCGGACCCCACCACTCACCGCCCTTGACGCCGATGCTCGGTTCCATCCGCGCCAGGCCGATGGCCGCGACGATGCCGATGAGGAACCATTCCTTGCGCAGCTTGTCCAGCAAGCCCATGGCGGCCTCGCCCCCTCCTCCCCTCCGCGGGCCCCGGGGTCCCTGCGGGTTCGGTGGCCCTGGGGTCCCCTGCGGGTTCGGTGGCCCCGGGGTCCCTGCGGGTTCGGTGGCCCTGGGGTCCCCTGCGGGTTCGGTGGCCCCGGGGTCCCTGCGGGTTCGGTGGCCCTGGGGTCCCCTGCGGGTTCGGTGGCCCCGGGGTCCCTGCGGGTTCGGTGGCCCTGGGGTACCCTGCGGGTTCGGTGGCCCTGGGGTCCCCTGCGGGTTCGCCTTTACCCCTTGCGAATCACCCCCTCGGTGCCGGGGGCACCCTCCCCCCAGACGCCGCCGCCGCCGCAGCTCTCTCCGCTCTGTCGCTGGGCCAACTCGACTCGGTCCGCGTTCCGCGCGGCGTTTGCCGCTCGCCGCGAGCGACTTGGGGGCGACTTGGGGGCGACTTTAACTCGAGTCGACCGCGAGAGTCGTCCACGTCGCGGGGAACGTCTCGCGCCGCGCGCCCTCCAACCTCGCCGCCGCCTCCGCCTCCTCCTCGGCGCGCCTCCTGCGTGGTGATCACGCTGCTGACATCTCTCGCTCCTCCTTGTCGCGGTGGTTGTTGTTGTTGTTATTGGTGGTGGAGGTTGTTGTTGGTGGTGGTGGTTTTCTTGTGGTGGTGGTTGTTGTGGTTGTTTCTTGGTGGTGGTGGCTGTTGTTGTAGGTTGTTGTTGATGGTTGTTTCGTGGTGGTTGTTGTTTCGTGGTGGTTGTGGTTGTTGTTGTTGGTGGTGGTTGTTGTTGGTGGTTGTGGTTGTTGTTGGTGGTGGTTGTTGCAATCGGAGTCCAACCCGAGCATCCACCGCTCGGAGTCCCTGGGCCGCTTCCGGTGTCTCGCGCCGGTTCAAAGGGCGGGGCCGCGTGACATCACCAAGCGGGGGGCGGGGCCCCCCCCCCTGGACACGTGGTCGCTTCAGACATGGCGGCGCCCAGCGGCGGCGGTGGTACACGTGGATTACTGGTGCCGGCCGCTGGTTCTGGCACCGCGTCTGCACGGGGCGTGTCGCTCTCGTTCACGCTGCCCGTGTCGTGTCACGTCTGCCTCAACAGGGTAAACGCCGAAGGCGGCGGAGAGAGCGGTCCACGCCGCACCACTCATCCCACCCGCCCACTCCCGGCTCCCGCCAGCGTTCACTCATCAACAGCCTTGCACGTTGCTTCACGACACTCTCCGCTTGTCGCCACCGCATCACCTCCTCGCCACCAGCGCTCGTCAATCCCCCGAGCACGAATTCTCACTCCGCGATCTCTCCAACACACATCCTGGTGCCCTTGTGTCCTCCGAATCAATCGCAGCAATTACTTACTCGTACGGCAAACCCCATTCTCTCCGTACAGTCCTCATCCTCACCCATCATCCTCATCACTCGTTAAACTCCACAACCTCTTCATCACGCATTATCTTCGTCAAACTCCACGACGATTGTCAATAACTCATTCTCCATCGCTGATCCATATACACCACTCATCATAATCATTATCTTTTCAAACGAAACTCATTCATAACCATCCGTCTCCGCTCGTCAAACTCCACTCACTCATCAGTCTCCACACAATCGTGGAACTCCTTCCTAGTAATCATCAAATTAAACTTCTGCTCTCATCCAGCTACACTCACCTAACATTAAAGGTCTACGGGGTGGAGCGGTGGCGCGCAGTGGCAGATTCACTGCGCTCTGAACCCCACAAACTGAGCTTAATTCCCGGCCACAGTTAACTTTAGTGGCGAGTATTATCTGAACCGGTCCTGGCCCCCACTCACCAATCCACACTGCGGCTGCGTGGTGAAGTATAGTCAAACGGAGATAACCACAGCAAAACCCTCACCTCTCGCAAAGGCCTAGCAGGAGCAGCAGTGCGATTAACAGCGGTAATAGATGCTGGCAATTCTCCAGAATTGGTTCAAGAAAGTGTGCTCGTGTTGAAACAATGCTGCTGAAATGACGCACTGCCAGAATGCCGTGTGGCTGATAGAATGTGAACAATTATACTTGGATCTATTTTTTATGTGGAGGGACGCTGATGAGAAAGTCTCGATTTTGCCTTATTAAGGCAAACGTTCCCCACCCCGACCGTGCAGAGAGAGAGAAAGTCTCCCTGGATATCTGTCACGCTCCTGCCAGCATCTTGGCCGCGCGAATCGGGCAGTGTTTCTGACTCTCTCCTCTCCCCGACTCTGCAGGTTCAGGAGCCCATGTGCTGCCCGAACCTGCACGTGTTCTGCACCGCGTGCATCGAGCTGTGGCTGCGCACGAGCCCCCACTGCCCCGTGTGCCGCTGCCCGGTGACCGCCGAGAGGCCCTGCGCTCGCCTCATCGGTGAGCGCTGCGGCCGGTGGGCAACCCCACGGCGTGGGAAAAGACGACGACTCAACCCTCAACCCTACTCCACCTCAACCCTTGCCCGAAACAGCTCCACTTCAATCCTACCCCTAGCCTGCTTCACCTCAACCCTAGCCCTAACTTCCATCTCAATCCTAGCCCCTAACCTGCTCCACCTCAATCCTAGTCCCTAACCTGCTCCACCTGAACCCTAGCCCTAAACCTGATCCACCTGAACCCTAGCCCCGAGCCTGCTCCACCTGAACCCTAGCCGCTAACCTGCTCCACCTGAACCCGAGCCATTAACCTGCTCCACCTCAACCCTAGTCCCTAACCTGCTCCACCTGAACCCTAGCCCCAAACCTGCTCCATTTAACCCTAGCCATTAACCTGCTCCACCTCAACCCTAACCCCTAACCTCCTCCACCTCAACCCTAGTCCCTAGCCTGCTTCACCTCAACCCTAGCCCCTAACCTGCTCCACCTCAACCCTAGCCCTTAACCTGCTCCACCTCAACCCTAGTCCCTAGCTTGCTCCACCTCAACCCTAGTCCCTAGCTTGCTCCACCTCAACCCTAGCCCCTAACCTGCTCCACCTCAACCCTAGCCCCTAACCTGCTCCACCTCAACCCTAGTCCCTAGCCTGCTCCACGTCAACCCAAGCTCCTAGCCTGCTCCACCTCAACCCTAGCCCCTAACCTGCTCCACCTCAACCCTAGCCCCTAACCTGCTCCACCTCAACCCTAGCCCCTAACCTGATCCAAGTCAGCCCTAGCCCCTAACCTGCTCCACCTCAACCCTAGCCCCTAACCTGCTCCACCTCAACCCTAGCCCCTAACCTGCTCCACCTCAACCCTAGCCCCAAACCTGCTCCATTTAACCCTAGCCATTAACCTGCTCCACCTCAACCCTAACCTGCTCCACCTCAACCCTAGTCCCTAGCCTGCTCCACCTCAACCCTAGCCCCTAACCTGCTCCACCTCAACCCTAGCCCCTAACCTGCTCCACCTCAACCCTAGTCCCTAGCCTGCTCCACCTCAACCCTAGCCCCTAACCTGCTCCACCTCAACCCAAGTCCCTAGCCTGCTCCACCTCAACCCTAGCCCCTAGACTGCTCCACCTCAACCCTAGTCCCTAACCTGCTCCACCTCAACCCTAGCCCCTAACCTGCTCCACCTCAACCCTAGCCCCAAACCTGCTCCACCTCAACCCTAGCCCCTAACCTGCTCCACCTCAACCCTAGCCCCTAACCTGCTCCACCTCAACCCTAGCCCCAAACCTGCTCCACCTCAACCCTAGCCCCTAACCTGCTCCACCTCAACCCTAGCCCCTAACCTGCTCCAAGTCAACCTTAGCCCCTAACCTGCTCCAAGTTAACCTAGCCTCTAACCTGCTCCACCTCAACCCTAGCCCCTAACCTTCTCCATCTCACCCTAGCCGCTAATCTGCTCCACCTCAACCCTAGCTCATAATCTGCTCCACTTCAACCCTACCCCTAGCCTGCTCCACCTCAACCCTAGCCCTAACTTCCATCTCAATCCTAGTCCCTAACCTGCTCCACCTAAACCCGAGCCCTTAACCTGATCCACCTGAACCCAAGCCCCGAGCCTGCTCCACCTGAACCCTAGCCCATAACCTGCTCCACCTGAACCCTAGCCATTAACCTGCTTCACCTCAACCCTAGCCCCTAACCTGCTCCACCTCAACCCTAGCCCCAAACCTGCTCCATTTAACCCTAGCCATCAACCTGCTCCACCTCAACCCTAGCCCCTAACCTGCCCCACCTCAACCCTAGTCCCTAGCCTGCTCCACCTCAACCCTAGCCCCTAACCTGCTCCAAGTCAACCCTAGCCCCTAACCTGCTCCACCTCAACCCTAGCCCCAAACCTGCTCCACCTCAACCCTAGCCCCTAACCTGCACCACCTCAACCCTAGCCCCTAACCTGCTCCAAGTCAGCCCTAGCCCCTAACCTGCTCCACCTCAACCCTAGCCCCTAACCTGCTCCACCTCAACCCTAGCCCCTAACCTGCTCCACCTCAACCCTAGCCCCAAACCTGCTCCATTTAACCCTAGCCATTAACCTGCTCCACCTCAACCCTAACCTGCTCCACCTCAACCCTAGTCCCTAGCCTGCTCCACCTCAACCCTAGCCCCTAACCTGCTCCACCTCAACCCTAGCCCCTAACCTGCTCCACCTCAACCCTAGTCCCTAGCCTGCTCCACCTCAACCCTAGCCCCTAACCTGCTCCACCTCAACCCAAGTCCCTAGCCTGCTCCACCTCAACCCTAGCCCCTAGACTGCTCCACCTCAACCCTAGCCCCTAACCTGCTCCACCTCAACCCTAGCCCCTAACCTGCTCCACCTGAACCCTAGCCCTAAACCTGATCCACCTGAACCCTAGCCCCGAGCCTGCTCCACCTGAACCCTAGCCGCTAACCTGCTCCACCTGAACCCGAGCCATTAACCTGCTCCACCTCAACCCTAGTCCCTAACCTGCTCCACCTGAACCCTAGCCCCAAACCTGCTCCATTTAACCCTAGCCATTAACCTGCTCCACCTCAACCCTAACCCCTAACCTCCTCCACCTCAACCCTAGTCCCTAGCCTGCTTCACCTCAACCCTAGCCCCTAATCTGCTCCACCTCAACCCTAGCCCCTAACCTGCTCCACCTCAACCCTAGTCCCTAGCTTGCTCCACCTCAACCCTAGTCCCTAGCTTGCTCCACCTCAACCCTAGCCCCTAACCTGCTCCACCTCAACCCTAGCCCCTAACCTGCTCCACCTCAACCCTAGTCCCTAGCCTGCTCCACGTCAACCCAAGCTCCTAGCCTGCTCCACCTCAACCCTAGCCCCTAACCTGCTCCACCTCAACCCTAGCCCCTAACCTGCTCCACCTCAACCCTAGCCCCTAACCTGATCCAAGTCAGCCCTAGCCCCTAACCTGCTCCACCTCAACCCTAGCCCCTAACCTGCTCCACCTCAACCCTAGCCCGTAACCTGCTCCACCTCAACCCTAGCCCCAAACCTGCTCCATTTAACCCTAGCCATTAACCTGCTCCACCTCAACCCTAACCTGCTCCACCTCAACCCTAGTCCCTAGCCTGCTCCACCTCAACCCTAGCCCCTAACCTGCTCCACCTCAACCCTAGCCCCTAACCTGCTCCACCTCAACCCTAGTCCCTAGCCTGCTCCACCTCAACCCTAGCCCCTAACCTGCTCCACCTCAACCCAAGTCCCTAGCCTGCTCCACCTCAACCCTAGCCCCTAGACTGCTCCACCTCAACCCTAGCCCCTAACCTGCTCCACCTCAACCCTAGCCCCTAACCTGCTCCACCTCAACCCTAGCCCCAAACCTGCTCCACCTCAACCCTAGCCCCTAACCTGCTCCACCTCAACCCTAGCCCCTAACCTGCTCCACCTCAACCCTAGCCCCAAACCTGCTCCACCTCAACCCTAGCCCCTAACCTGCTCCACCTCAACCCTAGCCCCTAACCTGCTCCAAGTCAACCTTAGCCCCTAACCTGCTCCAAGTTAACCTAGCCTCTAACCTGCTCCACCTCAACCCTAGCCCCTAACCTTCTCCATCTCACCCTAGCCGCTAATCTGCTCCACCTCAACCCTAGCTCATAATCTGCTCCACTTCAACCCTACCCCTAGCCTGCTCCACCTCAACCCTAGCCCTAACTTCCATCTCAATCCTAGTCCCTAACCTGCTCCACCTAAACCCGAGCCCTTAACCTGATCCACCTGAACCCAAGCCCCGAGCCTGCTCCACCTGAACCCTAGCCCATAACCTGCTCCACCTGAACCCTAGCCATTAACCTGCTTCACCTCAACCCTAGCCCCAAACCTGCTCCATTTAACCCTAGCCATTAACCTGCTCCACCTCAACCCTAACCCCTAACCTCCTCCACCTCAACCCTAGCCCCTAACCTGCCCCACCTCAACCCTAGTCCCTAGCCTGCTCCACCTCAACCCTAGCCCCTAACCTGCTCCAAGTCAACCCTAGCCCCTAACCTGCTCCACCTCAACCCTAGCCCCAAACCTGCTCCACCTCAACCCTAGCCCCTAACCTGCTCCACCTCAACCCTAGCCCCTAACCTGCTCCAAGTCAGCCCTAGCCCCTAACCTGCTCCACCTCAACCCTAGCCCCTAACCTGCTCCACCTCAACCCTAGCCCCTAACCTGCTCCACCTCAACCCTAGCCCCAAACCTGCTCCATTTAACCCTAGCCATTAACCTGCTCCACCTCAACCCTAACCTGCTCCACCTCAACCCTAGTCCCTAGCCTGCTCCACCTCAACCCTAGCCCCTAACCTGCTCCACCTCAACCCTAGCCCCTAACCTGCTCCACCTCAACCCTAGTCCCTAGCCTGCTCCACCTCAACCCTAGCCCCTAACCTGCTCCACCTCAACCCTAGTCCCTAGCCTGCTCCACCTCAACCCTAGCCCCTAACCTGCTCCACCTCAACCCTAGCCCCTAACCTGCTCCACCTCAACCCTAGCCCCTAACCTGCTCCACCTCAACCCTAGCCCCAAACCTGCTCCACCTCAACCCTAGCCCCTAACCTGCTCCACCTCAACCCTAGCCCCTAACCTGCTCCACCTCAACCCTAGCCCCAAACCTGCTCCACCTCAACCCTGGCCCCTAACCTGCTCCACCTCAACCCTAGCCCCTAACCTGCTCCAAGTCAACCCTAGCCCCTAACCTGCTCCAAGTTAACCTAGCCTCTAACCTGCTCCACCTCAACCCTAGCCCCTAACCTTCTCCATCTCACCCTAGCCGCTAATCTGCTCCACCTCAACCCTAGCTCATAATTTGCTCCACTTCAACCCTACCCCTAGCCTGCTCCACCTCAACCCTAGCCCTAACTTCCATCTCAATCCTAGTCCCTAACCTGCTCCACCTAAACCCGAGCCCTTAACCTGATCCACCTGAACCCAAGCCCCGAGCCTGCTCCACCTGAACCCTAGCCCATAACCTGCTCCACCTGAACCCTAGCCATTAACCTGCTTCACCTCAACCCTAGCCCCTAACCTGCTCCACCTCAACCCTAGCCCCAAACCTGCTCCATTTAACCCTAGCCATCAACCTGCTCCACCTCAACCCTAGCCCCTAACCTGCCCCACCTCAACCCTAGTCCCTAGCCTGCTCCACCTCAACCCTAGCCCCTAACCTGCTCCAAGTCAACCCTAGCCCCTAACCTGCTCCACCTCAACCCTCGCCCTTAACCTGCTCCACCTCAACCCTAGCCCCTAACCTGCTCCAAGTCAACCCTAGCCCCTAACCTGCTCCACCTCAACCCTCGCCCTTAACCTGCTCCACCTCAACCCTAGCCCCTAACCTGCTCCAAGTCAACCCTAGCCCCTAACCTGCTCCACCTCAACCCTAGCCCCTAACCTGCTCCAAGTCAACCCTAGCCCCCAACCTGCTCTACCTCAACCCTAGCTCATAATCTGCTCCACCTCAACCCTATTCCCTAGCCTGCTCCATCTCAACCCTAGCCCATAACCCTGCACTGCCTCCCTCCCCCTCCCCGCCCAGGTGGGGGCGACATCCCGCACCCTCCTGGGAGCCCCACACAGCGGAGGCGGTTGAGGTCGGCGCGGCTGGAGGCGCTGCGGAAAGAGTACGAGGTGCGTTGAGATGCGGAGGCCGAGAGCTCCTGCGTGGAGGCCGGGGAGCGAGCCGGTGGACGCCTTCAGCGGTGGCCTCGTGTCAGATGTCTTTAACGATCGCAGCGGAAGCGGTGCTCCTGCTGTGTGCTCCGTCAGTTGGTCGTGTAGACGTGCTGTCACGGACACGACGTCACGGACACGACATCACACTGTCACGGGCACGACGTCACGGACACACCGTCCTGGACACACCGTCCTGGACACACCGTCACACCGTCACGGGCACACCGTCACGGACACACCGTCACTGACACACCGTCACGGACACACCGTCACTGACACACCGTCACGGACACACCGTCACGAACACACCGTCACTGACACATCGTCACTGACACACCGTCACGGACACACCGTCACGGGCACACCATCACGGACACGCCGTCACGGACACGCCGTCACAGACACAACGTCACGGACACACCGTCACGGACACGCCGTCACGGACACGCCGTCACGGACACGACGTCACGTACACAACGTCACAGACACACCGTCACGGGCACACCGTCACGGACACACCGTCACAGACACACCATCACGGACACACCATCACAGACAGCATCACGGACACACCATCACAGACACACCATCACGGGCACAACGTCACGGACACACCGTCACAGGCACACCGTCACTGACACACCGTCACTGACACACCGCCACGGACACACCGTCACTGACACACCGTCACTGAAACACCGTCACGGACACACTGTCACGGACACACCGTCATGGACACACCGTCAAGGACACAACGTCACTGACACACCGTCACGGACACACCATCACGGACACACCATCCCGGACACACCGTCACGGACACACCATCACGGACACACCGTCACGGACACACAGTCACGGACACACCGTCAAGGACACACCGTCACGGGCACACCGTCACGGACACACCGTCACGGACACACCGTCACAGACACACCATCACGGACACACCATCACAGACACAGCATCACGGACACACCATCACAGACACACCGTCACGGACACACCGTCACGGACACACCGTCACGGACACACCGTCACGGACACACCATCACAGACACAGCATCACGGACACACCATCACGGACACACCGTCACGGACACACCGTCACGGACACACCGTCACAGACACACCGTCACGGACACACCGTCACGGACACACCATCACAGACACACCGTCACGGACACACCGTCACGGACACACCGTCACGGACACACCGTCACGGACACACCGTCACGGACACACCATCACGGACACACCGTCACGGACACACCGTCACAGACACACCGTCCCGGACACACCGTCATGGACACTCTGCGCCCGATGCACCAGGTCACGTTGCTGCCTCGCCCTCACCCCCGTGTCCCCCTCACTCCCAGGAGGAGGCGGAGACGCTGGCGGTGGAGGTGGAGCGGCTGCAGGGAGAGAACAACGCTCTCTGGGCCCAGCTGCAGTCGAATCCGGGCGAGCCCGCGGGGTCGGAGGTCGACGGCCGGCCCGCGGGGTCGGAGGTCGACCCGGCGGTACTGCTCGCGCTCTCGGGGAAGCTGAAGGTGGCGCGCGATGAGCTCCGAGCGACGAGAAACGAGATGAGCAGGGAGCGCGAGGTGAGAGCGACTCAGTGGTCTGCTACCGTCACGTGACGGTCCGCTACGGCATCTGCGGTGATAAGCTCGGGGGTTATGCATCACCACTGGCGGAGCAGGTGGGGGGGGGTGGGGGGGCACGTGCCCCCCCAATGATTCGATCGAAATCCCTTATGTCGATCGGATCATTAGGGTTTATTATTAATAAATCGGCATTTTGCGACCCCCACTGCCACTGTGTAGCATATTATTACGTGCCAGGGACTATATGAGATGATAGGACAAATGTCTGAGTCCATCATTGGCAATAAGTAACGGCAAAGCAGTTATAAGTGACTCACAGAATTGTGCGCAGTTGCGTCTACAGTACACGACTTCCCTGAAGGCATCGACACCTTCAGCGAGCGCGATGCCGATCACACAACGCGGTTCGAGTTCGACCCTCGATCGGTGGCTGCGCCATCGCCGCACACGCGTCAAATAAAAATCAAGGGACAAGTTCTTACTTATTACTAACAACTCCTTACTAACAACTCCTTACTAACAACTCCTTACTTACGAACAACTCCTTACTAACAACTCCTTGCTTACCAACAACTCCTTACTAACAACTCCTTACTAACAACTCCTTACTTACTAACAACTCCTTACTTACTAACAACTCCTTACTTACTAACAACTCCTTACTTACTAACAACTCCTTACTTAGTAACAACTCTATCATCTTTCATTGCTGGAGGGGTTGCCCCCCCCCCCCCCACCTGAAAATCCTGGCTCCGCCATTGCGCATCACCACGCTCCGGGAGATCAAGATACTCCGTCCCGTCGCACGCAGATCCACCCCGGGTGACACATCGCCGCGCTCTGGGAGAGGGGGACGACGCCGCTAATGAATCCCTCTCACCCCCTCTGGCGGATGCCCCGAAGCGAGCGCCGAGTGTGGGAATTCACTGCGCCGCGGTGGGGCGGGGGTGCTTCGTGGCGGAGGGCGGCACGGGGGATCAGAGGCACTCACAAATTACCTTGATCTGTGATGGGAGGGGGTGGAGGGTGAGGAGGGGGGTGCAGTGGAGGGGGGTGGAGAGGAGGGGGGCGGAGAGGAGGGGGGTGGAGTGCCGTCACTGCCCTCCATCGGCGTCCTCGGTCGATTTCGCGCGCGTCTCTACTGACATCCTCTCACCTGCGGCTTCCTCACCTGTCGCTCCCTCACCTCTCACACTCCGCGCGAGAACGTGCGTGCGTTTCCAGGCACCCGCGCGCGCGCGAATCTGACGGCCTCTGCGTGCGTGTGCCCCGTGCCGTGCTAGGTGCACGCGCGGCTGCGGGAGGAGAACGTCGACCTCCAGCGCGAGAACCAGAGCCTGCGCATGGAGATCGACAGCCGCTCCCCGCACAGGTCGCGACCCCAGCGCCGCGTCGAGCCACAACGGCCTCCTGCTGCCCAAACGAGCTCATCGGGTCCCGCCGAACCCAGGGGTGGAAATTCCACGTTCCTGTGGTGGTGGTGGTGGTGGCGGCGAGTCTCTCCCGAGGACGGCCGCTGTTGACTCGACCACAAAGTGGCACTCATTTCATGGGCCCTGGGGTGATGATGTTGATGAGGGGCCGCACCGTACGCAGGAGACGGCCCCCAGGATTCCGCAGTCCGGTGCCGTGGACCGTGAGTCCGGTGGCGACGCGGTCATTCTGACTCCCTGGGTTGAGACCTGAAGACGCCGCTTGGTTAGACGGCGTTCATCTCGCCGTGGGCCGATACCACCCGGAGCCAACATTTTACGTGCTCGGCCGTGTCGGGCGGTGGAGGGTCTTGACGACGCAAAATTTGGCCCAGATCGTTAGGTGGCCGAACCAAAAAGTCGATTGCGAATCGAGGGCATCTCGGGCGGTGCCATTGGCCATCTTCGGAGCGACGGCTCTGCGCCCGGCACGGAGTCCTCGCCGCGTGCCACGCCGGGGTGCCTGCCCATGCTCAGTGCGCCGTCTCTCTCTCTCTCGCTCTCTCTCTCGCTCTCTGTCTGCAACTTCTCTAACTCGGTCTCTCTCTCTCCCCCCGTCCCCACGCCAGGTTCGGCCGCGCCACCGTCGCCGCGCTGCAGGCCAAGCTGGAGCAGCAGCGGCGCGAACTCGGCCGCCTGGGCAAGGCCCTGGAGCGCAGCGACCGCTACACCGACGAGCTGGAGGCCCGGCTCGCGGGGGCCGCGGGGGCCGCGGGGGATCCCCGGGAGGGCCGCGAGGGAACCGCCGCCGCCGCCGCCGCCGTCGCCGGCCCCCCGCGGCGGGGGGCGCCCGGCGGCGACGCCGTGCGTAGGCTCGCGTTCGACGTCGCCGCCACCGCCGCTGCCTCGCCGCCACCACCGATGGGGAGCGGCGCGCTGCAGGGGGGGAGCGAAGGTGGCGGGGGTGTGGGGGGGCCGATCCCGTCCGGGGGGGTACCCCCCCCCCCGCCTGAGCCGAGTCACGGTCCCCTCCAGGGCGACGGAGAAGAAGGGGGTGGCGAGGGCGCGCCGGGATCCTCGCTGCCGCGGAAGCGAACGAGGGCCGAGGACTGACGGAGAGGGCGCGGGGAGAGTTCACGCGGAGACAAAGGGGGGCGGCGCCACGGGGAGGTGCGGCCCTCGCCAGCCCGTCAGCCTTTGTCTTCCCAGTGCTGATGTTTCCGCGCCGGTTCCTCGTTTGCTGACCGTGGCCGAGACTCGAACTCGACACTCCGGGTTCGTAGTGCGTTGCGCGAACCAGTGCGCCACCGCTCTTGGGTCACCTCGAGAAGGACATCGACACACACTCTAACGTACACACACACACACTATACTGTATTGTGGATAACGGTTCAATTTAGTGGTGATGTTGATATGTTACTGGGGCGACGTGGGCGGTGATGTTGCCGTGGTGATGTTGGTAGCAATTTTTCCTTGGTGATGTTGTCATGGTGATGTTGGTGGCGGTGTTGCTACGTTGATCTTGCCATGCCGATTTGGCTATCGGGATGTTGGTTGCGATGTTGCCATGGTGATGGTCCAGTGTCCTCTCACGTGGCCGGTAACGCCCTTCGTGCATTCTCGCGAGTCAGTGCCGCCGCGCTGTCTCACGTGACCGAGGGGTCAAGCAGGCAGCAGTGCACCACCTTGTCGCGGAGCCGCCGCGGGGGAGAGAGGTCATGGCCTGCGGAGAGCGAGTGGCAGAGAGAGAGAGCGTGGCGGAGAGAGAGCGTGGCGGAGAGAGAGCGAGGCGGAGAGAGCGAGGCGGAGAGAGAGCGAAGCGGAGAGAGCGTGGTGGAGAGAGCGTGGCGGAGAGAGAGCGAGGCGGAGGAGAGCGTGGTGGAGAGAGCGTGGCGGAGAAAGCATGGCGGAGAGAGCGTGGTGGAGAGAGAGCGTGGCGGAGGAGAGTGTGGTGGAGAGAGAGCGAGGCGGAGAGAGCGTGGTGGAGAGAGCATGGCGGAGAGAGTGAGGCGGAGAGAGAGCGAGGCGGAGAGAGAGCGAGGCGGAGAGAGAGCGTGGCGGAGAGAGAGCGAGGCGGAGAGAGAGCGAGGCGGAGAGAGTGTGGCGGAGAGAGCGTGGCGGAGGAGAGCGTGGCGGAGAGAGCGAGGCGGAGAGAGTGTGGCGGAGAGGGCGAGGCGGAGAGCGCGTGGCGGAGAGCGAGCGCGAGGCGCGTCGATGGAAACCGCGTTATCAGAGCTGGAGTTTTGCCAAATAAAATGAGGAACCAAGTCTAATGTGCCGGGGTTTCTGTGAGGAGCCATTAGTGACCGAGCTAACACCATCATTGCCTCGCTGCACTCGAGAAGCCAATTTCCTCGCAACTCGGGCCGTGCGAGTCTGTGGGTCTCTATGAGAGTGTGTTTCTCCGTAAGTCTGTGCGTCTGTTTAACACGTCGGCTTTCGCGACCTCAATAAAGGTTTTGGGTCAAGACTCTTTGCAAGTCTGTCGGTTTTTATGGTCGTGTCTGTGTAGGTCTATGTGAGTCTCTGTATAAGTCTATGGGCTTTTATGTGAGTCTCTGTATAAGTCTATGGGATTATATGTGAGTTTGTTTATGTCTATGGGTCTCTGTGCGAGTCTAATTCTATGGGCTTCTATGTGAGTCTCTGTTTTAGGTCTATGGGGCCCTATGTGAGTAATTCTATGGGCTTCTATGTGAGTCTCTGTTTAGGTCTATGGACGCCTCTGTGAGTAATTTTATAAGCTTCTATGTGAGTCTCTGTTTAGGTCTATGCAGCCTCTGTGAGTAATTCTATAAGCTTCTATGTGAGTCTCTGTTTAGGTCTATGGGATTATATGTGAGTTTTTTTATGTCTATGGGTCTCTGTGCGAGTCTAATTCTATGGGCTTCTATGTGAGTCTCTGTTTAGGTCTATGGACGCCTCTGTGAGTAATTCTATAAGCTTCTATGTGAGTCTCTGTTTAGGTCTATGGGGTCTCTGTGAGTAATTCTATAAGCTTCTATGTGAGTCTCTGTTTAGGTCTATGGGATTATATGTGAGTTTGTTTATGTCTATGGGTCTCTGTGCGAGTCTAATTCTATGGGCTTCTATGTGAGTCTCTGTTTTAGGTCTATGGGGCCCTATGTGAGTAATTCTATGGGCTTCTATGTGAGTCTCTGTTTAGGTCTATGGACGCCTCTGTGAGTAATTTTATAAGCTTCTATGTGAGTCTCTGTTTAGGTCTATGCAGCCTCTGTGAGTAATTCTATAAGCTTCTATGTGAGTCTCTGTTTAGGTCTATGGGATTATATGTGAGTTTTTTTATGTCTATGGGTCTCTGTGCGAGTCTAATTCTATGGGCTTCTATGTGAGTCTCTGTTTAGGTCTATGGACGCCTCTGTGAGTAATTCTATAAGCTTCTATGTGAGTCTCTGTTTAGGTCTATGGGGTCTCTGTGAGTAATTCTATAAGCTTCTATGTGAGTCTCTGTTTAGGTCTATGGGATTATATGTGAGTTTGTTTATGTCTATGGGTCTCTGTGCGAGTCTAATTCTATGGGCTTCTATGTGAGTCTCTGTTTAGGTATATGGGGCCTCTGAGTAATTCTATGGGCTTCTATGTGAGTCTCTGTTTAGGTCTATGGGGCCCTATGTGAGTAATTCTATGGGCTTCTATGTGAGTCTCTGTATAAGTCTATGGGATTATATGTGAGTTTGTTTATGTCTATGGGTCTCTGTGCGAGTCTAATTCTATGGGCTTCTATGTGAGTCTCTGTTTAGGTCTATGGACGCCTCTGTGCGAGTCTCTGTGAGAGTCTATCGGTCTGTGAGTAAGTCGTTGGGGAGCAGGCTGAGACCATCACGTGGCCCTCTCGCCAACTCGCTGGCGGTGAGAAACTCTCACTCCAGGAACCCGGCGATCCCAACCCGGCTTCTGTCACGACCCCTTCGCGAGTCCTCTGCTCCATTCCCCTCGCCTCAATCCCCCTCCTGCAATCCTTCCCGATGCTCAGCCGCGTAGATCACCCCCCCCCGCCTCCATCTCTCCTCCTGAACGCATCCATTCCCTCCATCCTCTCACCCCTCCTCCTCCACCGCTGATGCATCCTATAAGCACGAATCCCAAATCCTCCCGTCTCTGCACCCTCCTTTCATCCCTCGTCCCCCGTCCTTGCATCATCAAATCCACCCGTCCCGCTCGCTCCTCCATCCCTGCATTCCTCTGCTTCTGTTCCCAGCTCTGCGTCTCCTCCCTCTGCTCCCCGCGCTCCCTGCCCCGTCTCGCGAGACTTGACCCCAGTCAGGTGAGATTTGGAGGGGGGGGGGGTTGGTGATGATTTGTGGGGGGTGGGGGGGATGCAGGGGAGGGGCTGGCTCAGCGCTCCCTGCCCGCGAGCCTCTCCTCCTCGCCACTCTGCGCGATGCTGTCCATGAGCGGGGTGTCCGCTAAGCAGGGGGGCTTCAGCCTGCAGGGCGCCCTGCCTGCGGGGAGCGACGCCCTGCGCCGCGCTTGCATCGCTCACAGCGCCGTACGTGAGCCCGTCGCATGCACGCGCTCACTCACTCACTCACCACTCACTCACCACTCACCCACTCACTCACCACTCACTCACCACTCACCCACTCACTCACCACTCACCCACTCACCACTCACTCACCACTCACTCACCACTCACTCCCGACTCACTCACTCCCGTCTCACCTACTCACTCACTCACTACTCACCCACTCACTCCCGTCTCACTCACTCACTCACTCCCGACTCACCCACTCACTCACTCCCGACTCACCCACTCACTCACTCACTCCCGACTCACTCACTCACTCACTCCCGACTAACTCACTCCCGACTCACCCACTCACTCACTCCCGACTCAACCACTCACTCACTCCCGACTCACCCACTCACTCACTCCCGACTCACTCACTCACTCACTCCCGACTCACCCACTCACTCACTCCCGTCTCACCCACCCACTCACTCACTCCCGACTCACTCACTCACTCACTCCCGACTCACTCACTCACTCACTCCCGACTCACTCACTCACTCCCGACTCACCCACTCACTCACTCCCGACTCACCCACTCACTCCCGACTCACTCACTCACTCCCGACTCACCCACTCACTCACTCCCGTCTCACCCACCCACTCACTCCCAACTCATTCACTCACTCCCGACTCACTCACTTCCGACTCACCCACTCACTCCCGACTCACTCATTCACTCCCGAATCACCCACTCACTCACTCCCGACACACCCACTCACTCACTCCCGACTCACTCACTCACTCCCGACTCACTCACTCCCGACTCACCCACTCACTCAGTCACTGCCGACTCACTCACTCCCGTCTCACCCACTCACTCACTCCCGACTGACCCACCCACTCACTCACTCACTCCCGTCTCACTCACTCCCGACTCACCCACTCACTCAGTCACTGCCGACTCACTCACTCCCGTCTCACCCACTCACTCCCGACTGACCCACTCACTCACTCACTCCCGTCTCACTCACTCACTCCCGACTCACCCACCCACTCACTCACTCCCGTCTCATCCACTCACTCCCGACTCACTCACTCACTCATCTCCCAACACACAGATTCTCACGCACACAGACTCTCACACACACAGACACTCACACGCACACTCACTCACACGCACACACACTCACACGCACACACAATCACACGCACACACAATCACACGCACACTCACTAACATGCACACTCACTCACACACCCACACGCACGCACACACACACTCACTCACACACTCACGCACACTCACACTCACGCGTATACTCACTCACGTGTATACTCACACGCACACTCACTCACACTCACTCACGCGAACACAAGCACTCGAAAACCCAAATACGAAAGTGATGTATGCAATCACGCACACACGACACACGTACACACACGACACACGTACACACACGTACACACACACACAGGTGTTCACTCTCGTGCAACGCAACCGCGCTTCGAAAAGTACGCAAACGGGCACTCACACGTGTACTCACACGTACTCACACGTGTACTCACACTCACACACGTGTACTCACACTCACACACGTGCTCACTTTCACACGCGTACTCACACACGTACTCACACTCACACGTGTACTCACACACGTACACTCACACACGTACTAACACACGTACTCACATTCACACGCGTACTCACACACGTACTCACACTCACACGTGTACTCACACGTGTACTCACACGTGTAATCAAACACGTACTCGCACTCACACACGTACTCACACTCATACCTCGTACTTACACACACACACGTACTGAAGCTCACACGTGTACTCACACTCACGTGTACTCACACACGTACTCACACACGTACTCACACGTGTACTCACACACGTACTCACACGCGTACTTACACCCACACACGTACTCACACTTATACACGTACTCACACTCACACACGTACTCACACGCGTACTTACACCCACACACGTACTCAAGCTCACACGTGTACTCACACTCACACGTGTACTCACACGCGTACTCACACACGTACTCACACTCACACGTGTACTCACACACGTACTCACACGCGTACTTACACCCACACACGTACTCACACTTATACACGCACTCACACTCACACACGTACTCACACTCACACGTGTACTCATACTCACACGTGTACTCACACACGTACTCACACTCACACGCGTACTTACACCCACACACGTACTCACATTCATACACGTATTCACACTCACACACGTACTCACACTCACACGTGTACTCATACTCACACGTGTACTCACACTCACACACGTACTCACACTCACACGCGTACTCATACTCATACACGTACTCACACTCACACACGTACTCACACTCACACGTGTACTCATACTCACACGTGTACTCACACTCACACACGTACTCACACCCATACACGTACTCACACTCACACGTGTACTCACACACGTACTCACACTCACACGTGTACTCACACTCACACGTGTACTCACACGTGTACTCACACTCACACGTGTACTCACACACGTACTCACACTCACACGCGTACTTACACCCACACACGTGTACTCACACTCACGCACGTACTCACACACGTGTACTCACACACGTACTCACACTAACACATGTACTCACACGTGTACTCACACACGTGTACTCACACGTGTGTACACCAAGATGCCCTCCTGTAGCCTTAACAGACTGTTGGGACGAGCGCTGTTAGCGAGCACCTCTGAAACGCCGGCACGGCACACGGGTGGGCTGTACCACGCGCGGCCGCCTTTGTCTCCCGAGTGGCAACGTGAAGGCATCGCACCAGGTTGAGTCGACCCAGGGACCGGTCCAGGCAATCGTCGCCGGTGTTGGCCGTGAACGGAAAATCGAACTCGGCTCGCCGGGATCGTAGCGCGGTGCGCTCACGTCCTCACTACCGCTCCTCAAACATCCACACAGGCGCAGCGCAAGTACATAGAGACAAAGAGACCCCCCCCCCCATATATATATTTTGTTAAAGACTGAGCAAGTGTTAGGGAGCACCTATTAAGGCCAGAACGGCGCACAAGGATGTGGTTTTGACCAGAACCAGGCCCGGCCACCTTTGTCTCCCCAGTGCTGATATTTACGCACAACAGCTGGTGCTCATTTTAAGGCCGAGCCGACCTAGAGGAGACCCAAGAACGGTTCATATACTCGCCACTGTTATTGGTCGTGAGCGAGAATCGAACTCAAGTCGCCGTGATCGTAGCGCAGTGAGTGCATTGCGCCACCGTTCCCCACACACAGGTGTCGACATACACACACACACACGTGTAGATACACACGTGTCGACATACACACAGTGTAGACACACACACGTGTCGACATACACACAGTGTGTATGTCGACATGTGTCGACATACACACAGTGTAGACACACACGTGTCGACATACACACACACACACGTGTAGACACACACGTGTAGACACACACACGTGTCGACACACACACAGTGTAGACACACACACGTGTCGACATACACACAGTGTAGACACACACACACGTGTAGACACGCACACAATGTAGACATACACACACGTGTAGATACACACGTGTCGACATACACACAGTGTAGACACACACACGTGTCGACATACACACAGTGTAGACACACACACGTGTCGACATACACACAGTGTAGACACACACACAGTGTAGACATACATACACACACGTGTAGATACACACGTGTCGACATACACACACTGTAGACACACACATGTGTCGACATACACACAGTATAGACACACACGTGTAAACACACACACAGTGTAGACATACACACACGTGTAGATACACACGTGTCGTCATACACACAGTGTAGACACACACACGTGTCGACATACACACAGTGTAGACACACACACAGTGTAGACATACACACACACGTGTACATAAACACGTGTAGACACACACATACACGTGTAGACACACACACGTGTAGACACACACATACACGTGTGGACACACTCAACAAAGACGAAGATTATCCGTATAACCTAAACAGACTGTTGGGACAAGTGCCGTGAGCGAGCACCTATGAAGGCCGGCACGGCACACACACACACCTGTAGACACACACACACCTATAGACACACAACAACAACAACCGCCATTCGCCACTAAGTGGCGGTGACGTCACCACGACGCTTGTGCCAGGACATGTGCACCTTGAGGCCACGTGAAGTGTCGAACGCCCGCTGGCAGGAGGTCACGGGGCAGACCCAGGTGCCACGAGTCGACTGACTAAGATGACTGAGATGACTGGCTGATGCACCACCTGTGCCCCCTACTGTGCCTACCTGCAGTGCTTTAGCCACCCGGTGCTCCGCTCGTTGTTGTGAGCGTCGCTCCTCCACCCTCCGTTGTTGTTGGAGGGCGACTGCCTCCAACTGCCCAGTAGCGTCCTTCACGAGCCTCCTCCACAGAGACCGATCTTGACACCGCTGGTACCAGTCATCGGCAAGTCCACTCAGTTCCACGTCCTCCTGTACCACATCACTCTATCTCTTCTCTAGCCCGTGCCGCGCCCGTTTAGCCCCCTCGATCCGGCTGAACAAAAGCTGTTTCGGCATGCGGTGGCTGGGCATGCGGCTACATGACCCAGCCAACGCAGCCTTGCCTGCCGGAGGAGCTCACCGATGGGACCTTGCCCAGATCTTTCAAAGATTTGTGAGCTCCTCACACAATCCAGCCTGGTTAAACCCAGGATGGATCGTAGGCAGGCTAGTCTAAATGTTTCTAACCGGCGACGATGTTCCATTAGGGGGGTCCACGTTTCGCAAGCGTAGAGAAGGGAGGGAATGACCGTGGCCGAGAAGACCTGAAGCTTAGTGCGGAGCGACAGACCAGGTAGCTTCCACACAGCGTTACGCAACCAATGAAAATATATTGCCGCTCGACTGATTCGGAGTGAGACCTCTGCTGTTAAACTGGAGCCGGTCATAAGCACACTGCCCAGGTATGGGAAACTCTCCAGTCTCTCCACAACTGCCCCATCACCGATTGGGAGTTGTGGGGATGGAGTGTCCGATGGTACAAAATACCAAGGCAGGTGCTTAGTTTTGGTGGGGCTGATGGTAAGGCCCCATCTCTTAGCGGCACGCTCCAGTCTCAGCAGCGGCGTCTCCAACTCCTCCTCTGAATGAGCAGCTATTACCAAATCATCGGCATACATAACGTGGTTGAGCAATAGGGAGCCATCCCTTGACCACACCCGGGCATCGATCAGCCTCCCATTATATCTGTACCAAATGGAGATTCCCCCGGTACAGCTATTGAAGGCTTCACGAACTACGTGGTCAAAATAGATGTTAAATAATGTGGGAGCCACAGGACATCCCTGTCGCACCCCAAGGTGTACAGGGAATGGCTCTGACTCCCGGCCACGTAGTTTAACCCGGGCCCGCTCACCGTCATGAAGGTCCTTAATGATTGTGAGCAGGGGGTCAGGGACTCCAAAAGCACGAAGAACAACCCAGAGCCCAGGCCTACTGATGGTATCATAGGCCTTGACCAGGTCAATAAAGCAGAGATGTAGGTCTTGTTGGAATTCCCTACACCTCTGCTGTAGCAGACGGACAGAAAATATGGCATCTGTGCAGGACCTCCCTTTCCTGAAACACACACACACACCTGTAGACACACACACACCTGTAGACACACACACACACCTGTAGACACACACACACCTGTACACACACACGTGTAGACACACGCACACACACACCTGTAGACACACACACACACCTGTAGACGCACGCACACACACACACACGTGTAGACGCACGCGCGCACACACACACACACCTGTAGACACACACACGTGTAGACGCACGCGCGCACACACGTGTAGAGTAGACACACGCACACACACACACACCTGTAGACACACGCACACACACACACACACCTGTAGACGCACACACACACTCGTGTAGACGCACGCGCACACACACACCTATAGACACACACACGTGTAGACACACGCACACACACACACCTGTAGACACACACACACACCTGTAGACGGACACGTGCACACACACACTCGTGTAGACGCACGCGCGCACGCAGGCGCGCTAATGTTGTTTCCGTGTTGGCGGCGGTCGCGGACGCGCGCGTTCGAGTCCCGCGTGGCCTCGCTCCAATTTTCATGAGAAGGAGGAGGTGGAGGAGTAGAGGAGAGGAGGAGGTGGAGAGGAGGAGGAGGAGGCCTCTTTCTCTCCGCGTGTCGGAGTGGCGCGGAGCGAGCAGGGCGCCGCCACTCCACCCAATTCCCCGCAGAGTCGAGCGCGGCTGTTTATTTGCAGCTGCAGGGCGAGATCCTGGCGGGCCTGGAGGGCAGCGCGCTCCTCGCAGCCGCCGACTCAGCAGCCACCGCCGGCAAGAGGCAGCAGCAGCACCCGCATCATCATCACCATCAGCACCATCAGCAGCAGCAGCAGCATCATCAGCAGCACCATCACCACCTGCTCCCCGCCTTCAAGAGCGACTCCGCCGCAGCCGCCGTCGCGTTCAGCGCCGCCGTGATGAACACCGCGGTGCCGTGCTCCGCCTCCTCCTCCTCCGCGCACGGCTCCGTGCTGGGCTCGCACCACCACCATCACCACCACCACGGCCACCAGGCCCTGGACGGAGAGCTCCTGGACCATCTCCCGCACGGACTCTCCTCTCTCTCGGGCGGCATCGGAGGTGTCGACTCGGCCGCCGCTGCCGCCGCGGCCGCCGCAGCTGCGGCGGCCGCAGCGGCCGCAGCAGCAGCGCACATCCCCGGGATGGGCCACATGCACCCGGCGGCCATGGGACTGGGGGCCCCGCACGGGATGGGCCCCCACCACGGGGGCATGGGGGGCATGGCCGACATCGACACAGACCCGCGGGAGCTGGAGGCGTTCGCGGAGCGCTTCAAGCAGCGGCGCATCAAGCTGGGCGTCACGCAGGCCGACGTGGGCTCGGCGCTGGGCAACCTCAAGATTCCCGGCGTGGGCTCGCTCAGCCAGAGCACCATCTGCCGCTTCGAGTCGCTCACGCTGTCGCACAACAACATGATCGCGCTCAAGCCCATCCTGCAGGCGTGGCTGGAGGAAGCTGAGAAGGCGGCGCGCAGCCGTCAGCTCAAGCCCGAGCTGTTCAGCGGCGGCGGCGGCGGCGAGCGGAGACGCAAGCGCACGGCCATCGCGGGTCCCGAGCGCCGCTCCCTGGAGGCTTACTTCGCCGTACAGCCGCGGCCATCGTCCGAGAAGATCGCGGCCATCGCCGAGAAGTTGGACCTCAAGAAGAACGTCGTGCGCGTGTGGTTCTGCAACCAGAGACAGAAGCAGAAGCGCATGAAGTTCGCCGCGTCGCACTGAGTGGGGGGTGGCGGTGGCGGCGGCCCCGAGGGCCTCGCCCACGTTGACATTTGGTGATGATGGCACAAGGCAAACCCAACTCCCTCCACCGCGATCCCACGACGACTTTCGTCGCACGGCGGGGTTGGAGGGACGGCGTGAGAAGGGCGGCGCTGTGAAGTTGATGCAGGTGGTGAGCGTGGTTAGGATGATGGTGGTGATGGTGATTTGCCGAGTTCGTGTTGGTGGTGGTTGCGGTTAAGAGGATTGTGGAGGTATTGGTGAGTGATTCAGTTCAAGGATATGATATTGATGGTGGTGGTGTTCATAGCCGCGGTGGTGGTTCCATCGTTGATATTGCTGGTGATGCGATCTGTCAGCCGCTGACGGTGGCTATGATGATTGAGGTTAAGGTAGTGGTTAAGGTGATGGCGGTTCAGGAATTGCGGTGATAATTGGTGTTTGTGATTGGCGATTGGTAATTGCTATTGGTTTTGGTTGAATTTACAGCAATCGTGATGACTGCGGTTACGTTGACGGCCACTGGCGGAGCTAGTGGGGGGGGGGGGGTGGCACGTGCCCCCCCAATGATCCGATCGAAATCCCTCATTTCGATCGGATCATTGGGGTTTATTAGTAATAAATCGGCATTTTGCAACCCCCACTGCCACTGTGTAGCATATTATGACGTGCCAGGGACTCTATGAGATGATGAGTAACGGCAAAGCGGTTATAAGCGACTCACAGAATTGTGCGCAGTTGCGTACACAGAACACGACTTCCCTGAAGGCATCGACACCTTCAGCGAGCGCGTTGCCGATCACACAACGCGGTTCGAATTCGACCCCTCGATCGGTGGCTGCGCCATCGCCTTACACGCGTCAAATAAAAAGCAAGGGACAAGTCCTTACTTACTAACAACTCCTTACTTACTAGCAAGTCCTTACTAAGAACTCCTTACTTACTAACAACTCCTCTATCATTTTTCATTGCTGGAGGGGGTTACCCCCCCCCCCCCTACCTGAAAATCCTGGCTCCGCCACTGTTGGCGGCGGTGTTAATTGTCAAGTTGATGCCGTCTCTCGTGCGTTGGGCTTACTGATGATGATGGTGGTGGTGATGGTGGCGGTGAATAGGTTCACGATGCTGGTGATTGCGTTGATGGTCGTGTCTGTTCTCGGCGGCGACGTGGACGATGAGAGGTGACGATGGGGGAAAATGACAGCAGCGGTGGTGATGCTGGTGGCCGTGGCGGTGGTGACTGCGATGTTTGCGGTGGTGACGATGAGGCTGACGGGGTCCACGCTGACGGCTTGACGTGGCAATGGCCTTGCCAGCTGACGGCACTGGAGGACGAGGAGGATGGCACCGGAGGTCGCTGGAAGCAGTCGACTCGGTGAGGTTGACGTTGCTATCGGTGAAACTCGCTCATAAGGTTCGTGGTGATGGTGGAGTTGATGGTAGCGGCCGTGAACGAACCCCCACCCATTCCCTCCTCCCCCCCCCCTCACTGCATGCCGGGCCCCCCTAAGCCCCCCAAACCGGCCCGTACCCCCCCCCCCCCCCCGTTCCCCCTCTTTTCTGCATGCTCCACTGTTCTCTGTCCGGATGTTTTGTGCAATAAGTGGAACCCACTGACTAATAATAATCCTGTAATTTACCGCGGCCGTTTTCTAAATATACGAGATCTATATTGAACACGAGTGTGGCAAGTCTGTGGTGGGTGGGGGCAGAGGGGGTACGGGGGGGGTTAGTGCTCCCCCCTCGCTCCATCTCCGTGGAGAGAGGGGGGGCATGGTTAGATGCGATGATAGCGGGGGCGGGTGGGGGGAGGGGTGTCGCGAACGGAACGCGACGCGGCTGCGCAGCGTTCGGCACGTCGCGAACGCTGAACGAAATGTCGCGACAGCAGCGAGGGTTCGGGGTCAGAGAGAAAAGGGAGATAGCGAGGAGGGGTACGGGGGAGCCCAAGGGACTCATGGGCGGGGGGGGGGGGGTCGAGACGAGGGAGGGGGGCCCTTGGAGCACGTGGGAGTGGGGGGAGGGCTCCTAGGCGCGTCTGTTCGCGACCCCCGCGCGCGAAGACGCGAACGGTCGTAGGCACGTGGTCACGTGCGCTCACGCCTGTGCCACGTGTACTCGCACCTGTATATGGCCACGTGTCCATGGAAACACCTTGTATGATCGAGTGCTCACACGTATACGTGTGTGTACGCGTGCACACCTGTAGTCACGTGTTCACACGCCTGTATACGTGTGCACACACACCTGTGTGACGTGTACTCACCTGCAGAGTGTGCACTTAACCCCCCCACACACACACACACAGATTGTCGTGTACCACTCTCCGTCAATGTTCACTCTCAGCACCGACCTTCACCACCACTATCACCATCACCACCGTTATTACCACCACCATTACCACCGTCATCGCCATCATCGCCATCACTATCACACTCCGAAAACTCCCTTTCAAACTAAGCGTGGTGGAAATTCCACATTCCATATGGTTAGGGCGAATCTATCCATGGAACACGCACTGTTGACATCCCACAAATCGGTACTATTTATGAGTGCTATTTATCGGTACTATTTATCGACCTGAGAGAGATGATGGGCAGTCGATCGCTTAACCCGGAATTTGAACCCTGTCCCTGTAATTATCAGTATGGTCGTGTGTACAGTACTTCGTAATATAAAATCATCATCGCCATGGTCAATCAACTGCTGGATGAATGCCTCACCCAATGTGCCGCCTTTCACGACCCCGCGATAGTAACAATCCACCCAGCCACCGGCACGCGGAGCGATTCCATCGCTCCGTCTCCTCCCGTACGCGTCCCGTTCATTCTAAACATGTTGATATAAACACGCGCGCGCGTGTGTGTGTGTGTGCGCGTGTATAGATGATTATAGCGTTACTATTGTTTTATCTCCGTGATTCTTTGTGAACACGCCGCGGGTGACGAGTGACACAACAGAGAGAGAGAGATGTGAACGTTAGAACTGGTGCCTAACTTCTCACATTAACCACGTGCGCCCGAAGCAAGCGACCTGGTATGAGTATACGGCCGGGGTGATGCACAATACGGAACAAGATCCACTCCGCCACCACCACCACGGGCATCTATACAAAGATCGCCCGCCGCAGCCTAGAGCGGGCTGTAAGGGGCAAAGTGCTGCTGCTCGTGGGCCGCTTTCGTGTCGCGAGTGGCGACGTTGGTTTGCACACCGCACCAGGTGCTCATTCGAGGCCGAGTCGACCTAGGGGAGCCCCAGGACCGTACCAGATAATTCATCACTGGGGTTGGCCGTGAGCGGGAATCGGACTCGGGTTCGTAGCGCAGCGCGCTAACCGCTGCACTACCGCTCCCCATATAAATAAATAGAGAGAAAACAAAGATCCCCCGCAATGCCTTAACAGACTGTAGGAGCAAGTGCTGCTAGCGAGCACCTATGAAGGCCCGAACGGTACAAGAGGGGGTGGGTGGCCAGCACCACGCCCGACCGCCTTTGTCTCCCCAGTGGCGATGTTTACACACCGCACCGGGTACTCGTTTGAGGCTGAGTCGACCTAGAGGAGGCCCAGCACCGGTTCAGATAATCGTTATTGGTGTTGACCCTGAGCGGGAATCGAACCCGGATCGCGGGTTCATAGCGCGCGCGCTAACCGCTGCACCACCGCTCCCCACATAAATGAATACACAGACAGCGCCGCACGCGCATAGGAGGCGATGTTTCAGGCCAATGGCCTTTTTTATTATCAGAGAGCAAATTTAGATGTACATGTTTAAATTCAGCTTGGACCATGCTATTCGTCAATACGTTCAGGAGCTCGATGCCAATGTCGAGGTCTCCTGGCCACGCCGACGACGTCGAGAGGGAACTTGAGCAGAGAGAGAGAGAGTTCCCGTGCCGTTGTTCCGTTCCTCTTGCTCCGTTGCAGGAGCCCCAGGCTACCGTGGTTCACCGTCGTCCACTCGTGTGGGCTGCATGGCCACAATGGCACTGACGTGGCTTGTGTCTTCAATGTCCCATTCAACGAAAGGTCTTATCATGAAAACTTACATTTGTAAGGCGCATTTCATCCGTAGATCCCAATACGAGCCGTGTATGGAAAGCGAGGAATAAACAGAAGCTGCAGGGTAAGCGGCCAGAACTCGCGGTGGTAAAGTCCAGTTTATAGGGTTGAGTTTTCGTGATAGGCTTACGTATCGCTTCGAGTCTCCGTGTGTCTCTGTGGCTTCGACGGACACGGTCAGTGTCGTTTCAAGCCGCACGGCCACAATCGCACCGCCGTGGCTCGTGTCTTCAACGTCCCGTCCAACGAAGGAGCTGTGCGAGGAGGCCGCGCGGGGCGTCGCAGGACGCGCGGCCAAACCCGGAGCTTGGCCGTAGGTGCCGTGGGGCCGCGGGGCCGTGGGGCCGCGGGGCCGTGGGGCCGCGGGGCCGCGAGGCCGTGGGGCCGCGAGGCCTTCCGACTGTGCGTGTCTGTCAGGGCGCGGTCAGATACGAAGGGAACGAGTGAGATGTCACACAGATCGTACCCGGTGCTGCTGCTCTCGTAGCGGTACACAATCATAGACGAAGACGATGACGACAACAACAACAACGCCGCTGTGTTGCGGCCTTAAAAAGGACAAGTATGTAGTAGGCGACGTTTCTGGTAATAGTCCTTGTGCGGACAATGCCCCTTAAAGTTTCGGCGTGCTCTGAATCGGGAGCCCGCTGCCGGCAACGTCGCCGCCTCTGTCGTGCAGCGCGTCGCTTCACAGGCGGCCCCACGGGGTCTTCACGAGTCGAAGGCGGCCCTGGGGAGTGTCGGCGTGCGTGACGAGGCGGCGCTGCATCGTGGGTGGTGAAGAAGGGAGACGCCGGGCGCGCTGAGCCACGCCGACGGTTTGCGGGATGACGAATCGTGGGACCTCGACTCTTTGGTTCATTTGCTACTTCAGCAGTTTGTTCTTGCTGTGGTTGTCCCACCTGATGACGATTGCTTGTGTTGCGATCGAAACGTCGTGATTTTTTAATTTTTATTTTTTCTACCTACGCGACTTTATCTATTGAACCAAACGAGTATGGATTCCTGCAGTCACGAACGCTTCAAATCAAGATTGTGGGACCTTTATTTGGTGCTTTTCACGCTATGTAAGAAATACGTTTTACCCTTTCTGGCGGGGAGGCCGGTGTTAAGATCTAGCGTGGATCAATCAGTTTCAAGGACAATGCACATACTGTATCATTATCATCATCATTATTATATCACTGTGTAACAAAAAAAATGTTCCTGGCTAGTAAGTGTTATTTTATAATTGCTTATGCCTTATAAGTACAGAAATTGGCTATTATTCCCCACAAACGTGGCTTTTGTGACCAGGACAGTGATATTTGGAAATTTACCTATTTTCACTGAGAAAACGTCGTGTACATTTGTTGTCATTCCTTCAAGTGCTGGTCACAAAAGCGAAGTGTGTGGGGAATAATTGCCATTTCCTATACTTTTGAGCCATAAACAATTATAAAATAACACTTACTACCCAGGAACAAGAACCGTGCTACATAGTGAATTATCAGAGCATGTGTTTTGTGTTCATCATGTTCGCTACTGCAGACAGGATTCCTTACAAAAGGAATCTCTTATTGGCAGAAAGGGTAGAACCCGATTCCTCAA